GTTAAGAACTTATTCTATTGCTTATAGTCTGCCCTTTGCAATAAGCTATTAGCAGAGTTATTTTTTCCCTACTAATGTTTAACTTTAAAGTTAAAAGCACTTAAGTATATTGCCTAGCGTGCTTAATAAAGGTTTAGCCTTTATACAGCGCGCATGCTGCGCAAGTTGTTATAATTAAATAAAACTTTAATAGTGTGCTGCGCACCCTCTAAGTAATGTTGCTATTATTTAAAGCTAAACATAATTGCTAAAAGTTCTTAGTTATAGACCTTATAGTTAAGCTCTGCTTCTTAAAGCTTCCTAAAAGTAAAAGCAACTAGATGCTACTTAGCATCTTTAAAGAGTTAGGAGAGGATGCCTAATATAGCAAAATTTAAGGCATCTGTCTTAATGCGTATTTAGCGCTTTAATTTAAAATAGCGCAGGATAGGCGCACTTGTAAAGAGGGTTTTAAGTAATTTAAAACACTCTTAGGCTTCTTTACTCTATTTAAATTCTTAGCTTCCCTTTAATAGTTTTATAAGAGGTATTATTCTTGCTACATACTTTATAATAAACCTCCTATAAAAGTTAGCAAAGCTAAGAAACAACTGTAGCTGCTTAATGTTTGTTAGCGGCAGCTATTTAGTAATTATCTATACGCGCTTAGAATCAGCGCATATACTGCGCGTAGTAACTATAAAACTTAAAAAATAAACCTTATCTATAGCAAAGGTGCACTTGTTTAGATTTATAAATAGTTTTGCTTCTTTAAAAGATTAAAGTATAGCGCATACTGCGCGCTAGTAAATTGCAATGTCTACATTGTAGGTGTAGATAAGTATATTATCTAAATACACTACGCAAATATAGTCTAAATGTCCTCTTAAAGCATTGTTAATATAAGCTTAAAAACTAGCAGGGGCATTAGTAAGGCTAAAAGGCATTACAAGATATTTAAAATAGCTATATCTTGTTTAGAACGCTGTCTTCTACTTATCCCCCGCCTTAATCTGCAATTAATAGTAAGCGTCTTTAAGATTTAGAGTTGTATAGTAACATGCGCCTAACAAGCAGTCTAATATCTCTCTAATAAGTAGTAGCAGGTAATAATCTTTTACTATTACTGCATTAAGACCCTAGTAGTCTACACATAGTTGTAATTTTCTATCTTTCTTAAAAACAAAAAAAATAGGTGCCCCTGCTAGGCTAGTGCTATGCTAAATCTATCTTTTTTATAAAGCAGTCTCTAAGTATTTATAGAGCACCTAGAGCTTACGTTCTAACAAGCTGTACAGCAGGCTATAGAGAGGCTTCTTCTCTTCTATAATAGAAATTTTGTAATTAGAGCTTTTAAACAATAAAAGCTCTAATGCTTTAACCTTGTTAAAAACGTCTGCAAAGTTTTAAAGTAGCTTAGAAATGCGAGGAACGTGCGCTATACCTATAGTGTAAATGCTAGCAGTATGCTTTATACGTGTAACTATTATTTATAACACCCCTAGTAAATATAGCTCTATGCTAGCCTGCTTAACGTCTTCTAGATGCTCTTTAACAGAAACAAGCTAGATATCCCTAGCTGTATACTCCTACCTCTATGTTTAAGTGCTATAGTTAAGGCTAATTGCTTTCTTTTTTAAGAATAGGTTACCTAAAAGAAGAGGTACCTCTTTCTTATTAACTTTATAAACTATAGCACAGGTTTAGTGTTGCACCTACTAGTTATTTAAAAGTTACAACTAGAGCGCATAAGCAGTGTAAGTGCTTTAACACTGTAACCTAATCTAGCCTAACTATAGAAAATCTGCCCCCTTTATTAGTTGCAGTCCTATCTTAATAGCTACTTATTAACTAATAAGGCTAACATTAGCTTAAGAGTCTAGAATAAAAGGTAGTTCTTATTCTCCTAATATTGCCCCTATTGCGTAACACCTGCGCTTTATACCTAGTAAAATGTCTAGTAGCACACGCTTTACTGTAGCTAGAGTTTTAGCAAAGCGTACTCTTTTCCTACCTAATTAATTTCTATAGGCTTGTAGTTTAAATTACTATTCTAACACTTATTAGCGTAATAACCTTGCTTCTTGCACTTATAGCAGGTAATCTAGGACTTATCTTTTAGAGCTAATGTTAGGCGATAGGGCTTCTTTCCCTCTATTTCTTTTTATACTTTTCCCTTTTTTTTGTTGCAGTTATTTTGCAAGTGCGCGTTGCTTGCGCGCTAGTTATTCTATTCTAGCGTTAAACCTAATAAGATAAGGCCTTCTTGTGTTAAAGGAATTTAGTAATAGTTAGTAATAGAGCGCTGCAACTCTAGTCTTAGTTTTGCAAATAGATGTTGCACTTTTTAAGCTTTTGTGTAAAAAGTAAGTTATTTCTCTAGAATGCTAAGGTAGGTTACAAAAAAGCAAACACTTTAGTTCTTGCGTTGCATAGCCTGCGCGTGCGCTATAGATGCTTCTAAGCTCTAGTTAATAGGGTCTAAAAGCATGTCTAGCATAAAAGTCTAAAAGTACTTCTAGGTTAACGCTGCCTCGTCCTCTTCTAACATACGCTTATAATGTGCGTACTAAAGCTCTCTTAGGTCTCTTTGTAGGTACTGCATAGCCTAAGCAATCTAATTGCCTTCTTGCACAAATTTATAGGGGGCAAGTCTAAACGCTAGTTTATAAGAGCAAAAGAACTCCTAATATTTCTTATAATTCTTTCTCTTATAGTCTGCAGAGTCTTTTATTTTTAGACTTTGCTTTGCTAGCGCGTAGCGTAACAGGCTGCCTGCGTTTTACTTACGCTAACTTGTTGCCTCTACTTTAGGTGTCTTTCTTGCAGTAGGGTTTATTGTAGATAGAGCTAGCGTAGCACTCTCTAAAAGGGCAATCTTGTTTTCTAGCTCTTAGAAGCGACAGGCTGCTAAAAGAGCATTTCTTTTTTCTTTAGCAGCTTAAATGCGCTGCTCTATTGTAGTAGGTGCGCCTACAGGGTTAGAAGCATTTGTAGTAGTAGTAACTATTATAGAGTCCCCTTTTTTAGGCTCTAGGCTTCTGCAGTTAGAAGCCTGCTGCTAGGATTAGGTTAAAGAAGCTATTTTTAGCTATTTACTAAGAAGTGTTATTATGTAAGGCGTAGTTATAGGCAATAGTACTTGCTTTACACTACTAGTAATAGTAAAAAATAGCTCTTTTTAGAAGGTATTCCCTTTTAATAATTTAGAATAACACTTGTCTCCTTTTAGTGCTTTAGGTGCGCCTTTTGTGCGCTCTTGCTAAGCTGCCTACGCTAACTAGTAGCGCCTTAGCAATATTAATCCCCTTTAACACTAACTCTTATGCAGCGATGTTACACTTTTATACTTTTTAGCAAAAGTTTGTTTTTTTTTATAAGCTAAGTAGGCGTGCCTTTACTAGTGTTTTTCTAGGGCGCTAGAGTTTTGTTAGCGTAAAAGGCGTCTTTTTTAGTTTAATTTAAAACTTCTGCTGTAAATGCAGACTTAGTATATGTTGCTAGATAGTTACGCTCTATATAAGTTTAGAACAGCTTTATAGCTGCCTGCTAAGTTATTGTTAGAGTTCGCAATACTTCTATTTTAAATGCTAAATTAAAATTAGTATTAAAGGGTTTAATTGCCTGCGTAAATTAATCTAACATAGCATTTATATTAAAGACTTTTACGCATCCTACTTCTTCAGCTCTTATTACAACTTTATTATAATCTAAGAGCTAGGTGTTCTATTAGGTATTCTTCTTAACTTTATTAAGTATTTGTTTGTATTCTTTTTGTGCGTGTAAAATAGCTTCTTAATTATTAATGCTAACCTGCAAGGAGATTCTAAAAATCTATTAACTGTAGATATTATTAGAGCAGCATAAGCTATATATAAATTAATCTACTAAGTCTTGTATGTAAGAGACCATTGCTTAAATTGCAGTACTCTCTTTCTAGTATTTATTGTTATCTACTTGCTAATCTTTAAGGTCTTGTCTTTATTAGTTAGTTATTAGAGCCTAGGCAGCTCTCTGCGCAGCTAAGAGATAGGCAATTAATGTAGAAACATTTTCTTAGGCGTCTTTAAACACATCTAATAAGTTTAGAAGCAGTCTAGCTAGTTGGCTTTAAACTAGTCTTAATAGTTGTCTAGGTTCTTTAGGGTAACCCTAGAGACGTCTGAATTAGCAGGCATTTTTAGTTAATTTATAATAGTAAGGTTGCTTTATTAATAAAGGCAGTAAGACTCTTAATTGTTAGATATTACAGTAATTTATAGTGATAACTATTATAATAGAAATTAATAATTAATTGTTTGTCTTTTTAGACCTTATAACTTTGCTATACCCCCCCCCTTTTACCCTAGGTAGGGAGCCGGTGTGCACAGGTGCACACCTATTCGTTGCTTCTTATTTAACAAAAGTAAGTAACTAAAAAAACTAAAAGTAACTAAAAAAATAAAATAAAAATAAAAATACTATTATAAACTATATAAATATATACTATTACTTTTTTTTATAAGTATAGCTATAAAGGCTTAGTATAGTAAATAAATAATTAAAGTTTATAAGTAATAAAAATAAACTAAAAATAAAATATATAAAAAAATAAAAACGTAAAGTAAAAAGAGGTATATAAAGAAGTAAAAGGCATATAAATAAATTGCAACTTATTGTGCAATACCTTACTGTATAGCAGTTGCTTTTTTGCTAAAGTCTAATTAAGAGAGTAAATAAGGCACAGGGTTTACCTAGATTTAACGCAAGCATAGAAGTAGCTAGGGTCTGTAACAGCGGTGACTCACTGGCTAATGAATTGTGATTGTTTTATACTAAACTATACTAAATAGGAATTGGTTGGTGGTGTGAAATCATCATGGTCTGCTGTGATTGGTCGAAACTAGGGGGTATGTGAATGTATCGCGAACGCTCATGGAATCTCAATTTATAGCACTGTGATGGGACTTTAATTTTTCTACACATTACATTTAGAGTTATAAACCCACCTAAACCCTTACTTGGTTCAGCAAATTCGCACAATGCAGTGCATTGACGATCACTTGAACGCCCCAAAACGTGAAAACATCGAAATCGAAGAGAGTGTTTTGAAGCAAACATTCATGCATTCAGACAGCAGTACAGAAGCAGGAAGTGTCTCGAAGTCCATTGACGAAAAATCTGGAATCGAGATCTCCTCTGAAAAAGTCGAGACTGGCAAGGTCGAGTCTCCCAAAAAGCAATCGAAGCAATGGGGAACACCCTTTCTTCGGAGATTTCGTTGTAAGAGATTATTCTTCCCAACTTTCATCGACAGGAACTAACCTTCTGCAGATGCCTGGGCAAGTACCTATCGTAAAACCTTCGCCATAATCTTCACCGTTAACCTCGCTGTGTTCATCTCCCTCGTAATCAAAGCAAACAATGGACGGCCGAACCAGCGGGACATCGGTACCGCCGCGTCTGCAAACATTCTAACCACAATCCTATTCCGCCAAGAGAATTTCCTCAACTTGATATACGAGATCCTGTCTTGTGCTCCTCACTCATGGCCTCTATCTATCCGCAAGCGTCTTGCAAAAGTTTTCCACTACGGTGGCGTTCACTCAGGCAGCGGCGTAGCCGCCGTAGTATGGTACATCATGTACACTGTTGAATCGACCCTCCTTATGATAGAGGACAAGAATACACACAACGACATCCTCGCCAACATGGTGTGCTCTTGGATTCTTGTCACCGGGTTCCTCTTGATACTCGCAACCGCTCACCCACGCTTCCGACGATCATTCCACAACTCATTCGAAGCCTTCCATCGCTTCGCGGGCTGGACTGCTCTCGCCACATTCTGGATTCACAACGTATTTTCCGCTGCTATCACCGCCCGGGAAACGGCCTCTACTATCAGGATTACTCTCCTCAAAACTCCTTCCTTTTGGACCATCTTGATCTCAACATGTTGCACACTCCTATCGTGGTCGCGTCTCCGACTCCGTCATGTTGTTCCCGAAAAACTGTCCGACCACGCAACGCGCTTGCATTTCCGCTACACACCAATGTCTCCTTTCTACGGCGTCAAACTTTCTGACCGTCCACTATTCGAATGGCATGCCTTTGCTACCATTCCGTCCATCGACGAGGCCACTGGCAAATCGGTGGGATTCAGTGTGGTGATTAGCAATGCAGGTGATTGGACGAAAAAGCAGATCTTGGATGATAGTGAGCGGAAGCTGTGGATTAGAGGGAGTCCGTTACATGGCCTATTATATACGACGAGGTTGTTCAAGAGAATCGTGCTTGTAGCTACTGGCTCCGGGATCGGGCCATGTTTGAGCTTGATGCATGCAGGGATTACGCCTGCTAGAGTTTACTGGAGCACGAGGGATCCGTGGAAAACGTATGGAGATGAAGTGGTGAGTTTCCCCTTCCAACTTTCGATGCCACACCATGGTGAAATTCTCTATGTGTCTATTTAATATTCCATCTTCATTGGCTGTATTATAATAACACTAGCCATATTAGGTCAACGCAGTACAAAAAGCAGACCCGCATGCCATCATCTGGAACACAGGAACACAAGGCCGCGGCACAATTGTGCAGAGCGTTTTCAATCTTGCACAAGAGAGCAACGCCGAAGCCGTGTTCATAATTAGTAACCCAAAGGTAACAGACATGGTAGTGTTTGGCTTGAGGGAAAAGGGGTTTGCAGCTTTTGGGGCAATCTTCGATTCTTGAAGACGGGAAGTGTCGATGAAAAAGACGGAGACCGTCTATGTATCTCTTTCCACGACACATGACAAGTTTAGATTGCAGGCCAGCTTGAATTTTTCCTCGGAAATGGAGATATGTATTCATACATTGAGAGGCTGTAGCTGAAAAATCGGCTATGAGGCCATGTTGCTTATTAGACACTGGATGTCAAAGGGCCAATGCGTGCTTGTTCTGAAAATTGTCTGACCTTTTTGTTGTGATTTACGTTCTCGATTGCTGTAATCTACCGTTGGTATGTATCTAAAAGATGTGTTCTCTACTTGAAGTCTAGGCCCCGATGTTCACGAGAGAGTCGAAGGGTGTACATAATCATCCGAGACGCCGCACCGGCCAACACTAATGACACGCCCAGTCAATGAGGCACAGTCAACCTCTCTGAATCACCTTTTGTCGACTGCAAAAACTGGAAAGCAAAAATTCTGCATGCTCTTTCCGGCTTTGCAGATTATAAGCCCACGACTGCTCCTCATTCCAATGGACGGCTTTTCGGATCCTCCCTAGCAAGTACCTCGTCCGGCTTCCTGATTTGGATAGATCCTAGCCATGTCTGCCAATATTCCTTGCTAGCTTCAATCTCAGTCTGATTTTCGCCATCCGGCTGCGCCTCGGTCATGAGCTTGACAGGTTCTCTAGGACCCTTGTACAAAACAAGATGCAATTTGACCGTCGCCCCCGCCTCAGCGTCCTCTAGTACTTTCGATACATCACCGCCGATCTCTTCTAACGGTCCACCGTTCTTGAGCACCAGCTTGACCATCTCGTGTTGACCTCTAGCTCCAGATTTCAGAAACACTGCAAGTGGCGTAGCACTGTTTGCATATTCCCCGTCAGCCAGATGAATGTTTGCGTGCTTTTCTTCAAGAAGATAGCGGGCTACTGGTAATCGTCTCTCAAGCGGATTTGCGGACGACCCGGTCGCTCGCGAAAGTGGGGTGGTAGAGTATTTGTGGCTTATGTGATGGATGTCTGCACCGTACTGATCAACAAGAAGTCTACAGGTTTCTGGACAGCCTTCTGCACATGCAGATATTAGCCGACGGTTTAATCTGTCTTCTGTCGTGACGACGGTCTCGTTGTGGATGTTTGTGATCGTGTTTGGCCCACATAGTAAGGTTTCCCAGACGAGCTTAAATAATTCGGGGATATCCTGCTCTTTCATGGCATCTTCGGTGGCATTGAAGACCTCGGATAGATGGCTGTCTGACAGCTCAACATACTCAAAGGATCCGTCTTCTTTCTGCTTCGTTACGAAAGGAAGCATGAGTCGAAGTGTCTCAATTGATCCATGTGCCACAGCGGCATACAGACTTTCCATGATTGCATCCGTCTGGGACCGAGTGACGGGAGACCCGAAGCAGCTAGATTCAAGAACAAATCGAACCATATCTAGCGGGTCATTATTTGATGCTGCAGCGTAGAGCAGATGCGAGGTTTCGATTTGCAACTTTGCTTTGACCGACTGTGGGTGCTCGAGCAGCTTTTTTACTATCGCCACTTTACAGGACCGTACGGCAGCCTGCATATCATCAATTACCTCCGCTTCAAACGTTATGTTGGCGCCGTGGTCGAAAAGCCAATCAACAATTTCCTCGTGTCCGCCTAATAGTGCATTTGTCAAAGGTGTCGTATCTCTGTCATCTTTCTCGTTGATGTCTATATGGCCGACCTCGACGAATATTTTAACACATTCCATCTTGCCATCGAATGCTGCATTATGGAAAGCAGACATCATCTCGAGTTGAGGATATGACTGATCTTCGTCTACATCCAAATCGTCTTCGCCACCCTTGCTCTCATCTTTCTTTTTCGCCTCCTTTATATCTGTAGATACACCCAGCTCGAATAGCTCCGCGACAAGAGTGGGATCGTTCTCATCGACTGCCCACTCATACATCGCTGGTCCATATCGAGGGAATTCCTCGATGATTTCGCGGATTTTGGTTTTACGCTCTTCGCCAGCTATCATTCTGTGTACGCGTTTGCGATGAAAGGGATTTCTGCCACCGGAGTCGTACCAGAAGGGATCCTCGTAGTGTTCCTGGGCGGGGGGCATGCAGGAAAGAGCCATACCCTCAGGGACCTCCTCGTCGAAGAGGTTCAGTTCTTTTGCGGTGGGTAAACGAGGCATGTTGCAGAAATTCAATATCTGGAGATTAGCATTCAAAGCATTGAATAGCCAGGAGTACGAGGCATATCTTATAGCAAGAAACAGTTTGGGGGCCAAATCGTGTTCACCGATTTGGGTATAGCCCGTAGGCAACTATAGTTTAACATGTGGGGGGCCTAACTGCATCTTGCAGGTAAACAGTTAGCTTTTACGAATGATGTCTTGTATAGCCAATAATCGTACACTGAAACAAGAGATGTTCCTCCAAGTATTATAGGATAAGTAATACGAAGAGGCGGGCAGGCTTGAAACGACCATCACCTTAACCGACACCAACCCCACCAGTGACGTCGCTGCCTAAAAATGGTCCGCTAGTGCCATTACACGTCAATCACCAACACCAAAGGACTTGCTTCTCCCATTCTCTCAACCAAAACCACTGCGTCGTCCCGCATATCTCGAATACATCGTCAGCTGCTATGCCTGAACAAACCAGCGGTACCTACAACGGTTCCTGCCATTGTGGCGCCGTCACCTACTCTCTGAAACTCACCTTCCCTCCCATCCACAACCCCGCGGCAATAAACTCCATCCGCATCTACAAATGTAATTGCAGCACTTGCCAAAAAATGGGTTTCTTCCACTGCCGTCCCATCAACATCTCCGACGACTTCATCCTCAAATCTCCAGCTACCATTGAGGAGCTCGGCGACTACCGCACGTTCTCCAAAAAGCAGAGTTGGTACTTCTGCAAAGACTGCGGGGTCAGGGTGTTTGGGCATGGAGGGAAATGGGAGCAGACTGAGGTCGATGTAGGGGAGTGGTCAGGGAAGGAGAAAGATGGGAAGACGGAGAAGGTCTGGTTCAGCAAGCCGGATGGCATGAGGACGAGAGTTGTGGATGGGGTGGAGAAGCAGGTGCCTTTTCATTACCTGAGCGTCAATGCTGTTACCCTTGATACGGCTTGTGAAGGGGGTGTGGATCTGAGGGAGTGGCATGAGAAGGGTTATGTGGCTTATGTGGAGAACAGAGAGAAAATGGGGAGCGGAAATGCGCGGTTGGAGAAGCCGTATCCTGGGGGAATGTTCTGAATTGTTTACCAAGTGAAGGGTCTCCAACACATCACAAGGAGAGAGCGGCATTTCCCTATCAAACTAGACTTTCTAACTTAATAAAGTGAGAGGAAGATATTGATATCGCATTATAAGTATTAAATGCTCAAATGTTAAGATGTTCTGTTACGTGGTGTGATCATCACGTGCAAGGCACGTGACCATATCAAGAGTGCACATGACCAGGAGTGAGCATTTCAGGGGATTCGACAGAGCACTAGTGCTACGACACTTGAAATTATAACCTATCATGTACTCATCTCATGAGCTCCCGAAGGCAGTGGAGTGCTGCCCGCGACTTCTGCTGCATGCCACGCGTCCACTTCATGCATGTATACCTCCGAACCGTTGAGTTCTCTAAGAGTTGGAACAGCATCCATCTCGCATTGCCCATTATCTGGCACTTCTACGCGGTTTGACCCAGATTCCGAAGAGCTTTGCTCGACCTTGGGTTGCATGGACTTGGACTCGGCCGTGTCTTTCTTGATCTTGAAGAAAAAGTAGAACGCGGCTACTACAACGAGAATAAAAGCAAAGCTGCCGATGCTTATCCCTACAATCGCGGGATTTGATAACGCGCTCGAACCAATATACGTCTTGCTCGCGTTGGTGGACCTGTTGGCGTAATCTTTGCTTACAATAGGTACGATGCGCTCTTGCAGGGGAGTTTCGAATGCTGCTTGCGATATTGAGAAATTCTGGTTCTCGTAGTCCGTGATAAGATAAGCTTCTTGAAGAAAGGTTCGACCTAGCGTGAACTGTGTTTCGTTCGCACGCCGAATAGGGAAGTAATTCGTGGCGTTGGGGTAAAAAGGGTGAGACGCTTGGAGGTCAAACGCTCCGTATGGAAAGTTGATGTTGACCACTCTATTTGGGTCACGAGATGCGCCGAGCTGGAAATTGATGCTTGGGTTCATTTGCTTGAGCCGGTCGTGCGATGTCGAATTCACAAGGTATAACTGGGTAGTGGGGTCGTATTGCAGACCGAAAACTTGCTCGAATTTTTCGCAGGCCTGTACAGGGAGCCAGAGATGCGGGATTGTTGAGTCAATATTTACGTAGAAAGGAGTGTCGTGAACGGTCATAGGTCCCAGAAGCGAGTTTGTCGTGTCGATACTTTGGACAGTGAGACTTATCATGTGCGAGCCGCTCGGATCGAAGGGGAATGATGTTTCGATGTTCTTTCTCCTTGTCTCATCATAACCACCTAGCACTAGGCTTCCAGTAATTTGAGGCGTTCCTAGTGAATGGACTTAGCCCTTACGAAGAACATGTCGTGGTGATTACATACGATATGAAGCACCAGCCGTATATCCATACGACATGCTCGGTATTTTCTCTTCATCTCGTAGAGTTCTGAGATAAGATGGTTGAGGGTGTTCGGAATCCGAGAAGTTCGTTGGTCGATCACCCAGGCCGAAGTGTCCGAGATAGTAGTCTTTAGTTGCAACGCCGCCAACAATCTGTCGGGGAAGCGTAACACCACCAGATTGTGGAACATTCAGTCCCAAGTTGTCAAGCCCATATAATGCTGCTCCTGTGTAGTTCAGGTTCTCTTCAAGTCCCAATTTGTACAGACCAACTTGGTTCCATGTTGTCGACCGATTATGTTGAAACCCATTGCTCGGATGCCCATCCACCACAAAAACCCCGCGACTTTCTCCGCAATCTTCAGGGTCACTTTCTGTACAGCCTTCAGGCATAGGCACCAATGTTTTGGAGTCCGCCGTTGAGGGTAGGACCCTGAATAATTGTTCTGGCGAGCCAACTCGAACAATGAATGTGCTCCAAGATCCATCGTTACCATCCCAATTCCCTGATGGAGACACCACGATAGGTGGAGGATATGCAGACTGATTCATCGGATACTTCAATGTTGTTGTTGGCCGTTGGGAAGGATGATCAGAAAACAGCACTCTCGAGGTCCAAGCAGACGAAGCATCTATGCCCGACTGATCACAATAGATCACCTAGGAGCAGCGACAGTCTATGATATGCAGCCAATCAAATTCTATGAAATGTCCATCGGGATTGGATTGGGGGCTGAGCTGAACTTTGTTATCTTCGAATCCCCGATACCCTGCCTGTATCCCCCAATCATGCCGCGTCTAATCTACAATAATACACGACAACTCCAATGCCCTCTTTCAAGCACCCGCCACCCAAAATTAATTCCTATCGTCTTCCATGTAGAAGAAGAGTCGCGATACATGTTGGCATTCCTTCTCATTGGGAAAAAAGTTGGAGGTAGAGGTAAATCCTGTTGAGGAGGGAATAGTGAAATAGCATGAGTTGTAGCTGATGCGAGATACTTCGCTAGCTTGCAAAATCATCAGACAAACACCGGGTAAAAAGGAAACCTTGTCCACCGACACGAATCCGTACAACCCGATGCTGACATATAATCTCACGTTAATTGTTGATTGGGTACTAAGACCGTATATGCACACTGCCTCTTTCTGGGTGGTGCCTCGATGCATGATACTCTACGGTTACATTATCGATACTTGCCAATAAGAAAAGATCGAGAAATCTAGGAAGCCGAGCTGAGAACATCCAGCATTTCGGCCCCAGTACTCGTATAGTCATTTTAGTGTGCAGACCTATATCTGATTGGTCCGATCTAGTGGAGAGAGGCTGGTCTGTAGAAAGCATGGTTGCAGGCATTTCACGCAATGCGCGGTGTATGCACCACCGGGGGTCGTTGGGCGAATCACTTTATCGTGTGCCTGATCTCATTGATCGCGACGCCCTCAACAAATCGGCATATGCAGAGTTATCGGATTTCAGCCTTCTCGGGGCGCAAGTATTGGTCAGTTGATGACTTCCAAATATACTATTTAAAGACTCGTTACTATGATATCTCATATATCCTGCTGATGGGGAATCTGGGTGTCATGAGCACTATCGTCTTCCCTCCAAGACACCAGAGCATAATCTTCATCGATTGCGATGTTCATGATAATGATACTCAGGATGTATTCGCCTATATGGGTATCGCTTATTCTACCCGTCGCGAGCGTTTCTGTGTTTTGGAATGACAGTGGGTTGCCAACGGGATATAGAAAACAGACTAAGCTGAATAAACCCATCAAGCATCTCCTGGGTCTACAACAACAACAACAACCACCGGCAGCCTGGCAAACATAACTTTGTCAACGAAAACATCTGCTTGCCAAACAACCGTGACGCAAATTAGCCCTTACACTAAGACAGCCATCGAGACGAGAGGTTATAACGTAGTCACTCGATATACAACAATAACTAAAACGAGAACTTACTATCCATCAACCAGTTCCCCAAATAGCTCAATAAGAAAAAGAGATGATCCGTCCATCGCAGGAGAGAGATCCGGGTCCAGGACTCCAAATACTCCGGATACCCCGATTTTCACCCAGCCACCCGTATCATCAGGGATAAACGCGTGTCTTACCATCACTACCACAAGAATGCCGACCTATACTGTGACAACACTTGAAATTGAGCAACGCACGAGCATCCTGACCGAAACATTAATACGGTCATACTTCATTACACCTCCCAAGCCCACCTTTACGGAGACAACAACAACACAGAATGGAAACGACAATAAGCCGGAACCACCAAGAACAAGCACATGGTCTTCAGCCATCACAACACTCCCCATTCCGGAACCCGGAGAAACTTTCTCTCTCCCTCCAGACCCCACTACCTCTTTCGTACTTCCCACCCCGAGCGTAGGCCAGCCTACTGTATTGCCTTCTTCTAGAACACCCGTGCCGATTGGGACTTTTATGCCATTACCTCATGCCACGAACCCTGGAAATCCCGTAACCTCATCACCCGGCCTCGGTCTCCACCTCGGCAACGGCGCGACACTCCTCCCAGGCTCTGCAACTACCCTCTCAAACCAAGTTATTTCACTACCGGCTACACCGAGCTTCATCCAGATAAACGGCAACACTTTCCCACTACTCCCAAGCGCAACTTTCCCTCCCAATCCCAACCCTCCGTCTTCTCCACCCCAGAACGGCGATAAACCAAATCCATCTAGCGGAGCCATTTCCACAGCAGGCAAGCCAACATACACAGTCAGCACCGCCCCACTCCCATTCTCGTTACTATCCACATACCTCCTCAATGGCACTAAAGGCAGTAACGGAGGAGGAGAGGCGAAACCTCTATTCAGCCTCACGCTACCAGACGGACACATCCTCTCTATATCACCCGAGGATCTGAAACAAACAAGCGATAAAGCTAGGAAAACTTACACGTACAAAGGCCACCTTATATCGCTTTCGTATAACCCCGGAATTGGTGAGGTGGAGCTCATGGTCGATGACCAGCGGATCTCTTCGTTTTCGCCTATCCTCGCGTCAAGCGTGCTGAGGAGCGGCGATGCGATTTTTTCGTTTGAGAGTGTGATAGGAGGTGCGGTGCGTTTGTTTGATGGGGAGGTGGGTTTGGTCTCTGTGAATGGGATGGGGGGTGATGGTGATATCGGAGGTATTTTAGGGATAGAGGGTGTTTCGCTTGTTTTGGAACATGGGGGTATCGTTGTGACGAGTAATCAGGGTGGTGGGGGTGAAGGTGGGACTAATCACGTGGAGAAAGAAAGTGCGATTCGGTCGACGACAAGTAGTGGGATGTCTACGCTGTTCACGGAGCTGCCAAATGGTTTGTTCAGTACAGGGGAGCTGTCGGTACCGGGTGCGACCCAGACCTCCTCACCTTCTGCGGTGGCAAGTGACAGTTTCGGCGAGACACGATTTAGTTTTCACGGGAAGAAAGTACTTGGGGTCTGGTTGATGGGGTATCTTGCTGTAATTTAGTCGGGGCCAGGCGAGTTGCCTATTTTGTACAATATTCGATCCTTTCCGGAGATTCACATGTTCAGCGCTTTGTAAGGGTCACATGTATTCTATTCAAATGATTCTGGTTTGATTCTAAGACTGATCTACACCCTGGGTTTCTTTTCATCGATCACCAGAATTACTTCGTCAAGCTGTTCCGTCGAGATAAAATCTCGAAGTACGATTATCTCATCACATACTTCGTAGTGTGACATATACATCTGTAGTCCTAGTGAGCTGTCAGATTTGATTGTTCCCCCAATAACATCACGTTATTATTTTTTTTCATGAATAGTTACATTGTTTTTAAAACTTATAAAAGTAGAAAAAAAAATAGTAACAGAAAGTAGGCAGGCACGAAGAGGTTTATAAGAGGTGAGTTTTGCTTTCGGCACAGGGGCATGGTGCAACAACCACATGAAGTTGGGGCCAGCCTTTTGGCTGGCCCATCACATTCCAAAATTCCACGAGTTCACATACACTTATTTATTGATTTTAACGGCAAACAATAATCTCGCTAAAAGAATGGCTAAGAGTGGGCGCGAGGGCAACTTCTGGTCCTCAACAACGAGCCAACACACCTCCTTCCCCCGAGAATCACTTGGGATGTGGTTTAATGACCCTTAGTGGTTATCTGGGTGGCCACAGTTGCTGCAGTAGCCGTGGTGGTCTCGATCATAATTGCTGCAACCGCAAGAGCAGGCGGCGTCGACGGGTACGTTCTATGTATGATACAACAAATTTAGCCAGCTTCACACCGAGATTGCAGACAAGAAATAATGAGACTCACAATTTGCTCCAACATTTTTTCGGTCTGGTCACTGGATGGGCGTGAATCGTGCGATAGAGGGACTGCGCTGCTTGTTAGGGGAGACTGGCAAAAAGTACGGCAGTGAAACATACTATAGGAACAGTGATGAGTGCGTAGTACGAAGATGGATGTGGGAGACTGTGATTTTTCCAGATGTTGCGCAGCATCGAGTGATACTTATACACCTTGAATTGGATGCCTTTCAATCCGTGATTTGCCTTATACATGTACATGGTCTTGGCAAAGCGACTGCATTAGCCAATGGGATTGCATCCGCGTCTACTGTGCCGCAATAGACGCCCACTTTCAATGCAAGTACTTTATCCAGGCTTCTCTCATTGGTGTGTATGAAGGCATAGTTATCGGTTACCAGAACTGGTCATTACTTGACTGAGATGATGTTTCCTGAGGCGGCTGGGCATATGTTGGTTAGGCGTACTGATCCCCTCATCGGCTCATTCAGGAGTACTGTATCAGGGGTATGAGGCAGTGTGATCACAAACATCAAAACACTAGGCCTCAGCAGGAAGGAGACCCAGCAAAACAGGCCATAGGTACTTCCAGCCTGGGAATGAACGACATGAAGACAAATGCAAATATGCATGGCTGGATCACGGCGTCAATGTCACTAAAGATGATTGGTAGCCACAATGGAGGGGGGCTTTGCATTGTGGTTCGACAAAATTCGATGAACATCATGTGCTTCACTCATCCGAGCGTCTATTGCAAGCCAGTAAGCTACGTGATCCAAGGCATGAACTACGTCTACGCGCCAACACAGGTTCTACGCTAGCTGTATATATGCTTACAGTGGCATCTCATGGAGAGGCGTGTGTGATATGAGCCTCGGCCCCCTCGTATCCAGTTGGGGTTCACATCCTAATGTAATAGCTCATTAGCGATGATAACAGGCTGTGCAGATTTGGGGGCTTACCGGTCCAGGGGGGTCAGACCTAGTAGACGCATTCCGTTATTGATCACAGATTTGGCTGCATCATAGAGTGCTACTCGAGCCTTCATGACTTCTCGCTCGCTGCCAACTACCTGCAAGACATCGTAACTGCTGTTGATTGCATGCGTCAAACGCCACAAGTAGGTCAAAATGGTCGTAGGTTCTCGTGTTTTCAGACTGTTGAGGAAGGTGTCAGGGAATGTGGCAATAAGTCGGACGACATTGACGGCATGAGGTTCCGACAGGAGGTCAAGGTTCGCTGATTCAATGTCAGAAGCTGGAAGACCCGCTTTGATCAGGATTGAGTTGAGGCGGGCGTGCGAGTATTGAAGATAGGGACCGGTGTCTCCCTCAAAAGAAGTCATCGTATCCATGTTGAAACGGTAATTGTTGATTCTGGATAGTGTTAGAACATGTTTCATCCCCTATCGAATGACATACCGTTTTCCACTCATATCTTGCACCATCACACTGCTTATACCTAGAATATCTGCAGTCTTGACCGGATCCGCTACTTGAGCATATTTGACCTCGTTCTTCCGCATCACTTCATGCATCTTTTCACCGACGTCTCTTAAGACATCATCCAGGAACACTACTGTTCCTCTGCGAGTACTCATTCCCAGAACTAGTCCAAAACTGACATGGGAGATTCGAGATCGGAGATCATCGTGGCCAGTCAGCTCCACAAGCTTGAAAAGCTGCTTGAGATGCAACTCTTGATCAGTGGCGACAACATATATCATCTGATCGAACTTGTAGTGATCATTCCGCTCAAATAAAGCGCCGACGTCGCGAGTCAGGTAAAGACTTGTGCCATCCGTTTTGCGTATCAGTGCTTTGCCGAGCGCCTTTCCTGCCTTGCCATCAACGTGTTTGGAGAAATCCACTATTGCGGCACCTTGTGACTCTTCAACCAGTCCTTTATTTCCCAATTGATCCTGCGCATTTTGCATGCTTGCTTCCTGAACCAGACTTTCGCCCGCATATTCATCGAAGCGAATGTTCAGCCTCTTATATGCCTCTTTGTACCTCTGTATGCTGAGCTCCCGGAATTTTTTCCACATGCTGATTGCTTCCGGGTCGTTGTCACACATGGCTTTGAAGTATTTGCGAGCTTGCTCGTCAAGTCCCTCATTGCGGATTTTGGTAGCGTCCTTTCCTTCCTTCTCCAGTTGCTCAATTTCCTTTCGCTCCTCGGCGAGGAGCGTGTTGATCTTGACATAGATCTCATACAAGTGATGGATTGGATCAGCCTCCAAGGCTTTGTCGTCCCCGTGCATCTTATAGCCCAGCGCCAACAGTCCGTATTGTTTACCCCAGTCGCCGAGATAATTCAAGCGGACAACATCCCATCCGGCGGCTTCATAAAGATTTGACAGGAAACCTCCGATAATAGTACTCCGTAGATGGCCTTGGTGGAAAGGCTTGGCGATATTCGGCGACGAAAACTCCACTACAACACGCTTTCGGCCTTTTGAGGGGTCTTTGACATCCTTCAACCCAAGTAGAGGGTTACTGCCCCATCCAGTTCGATTCTGCAGGATAGCCGGTATTACTTTCTTCACGAGCGCGCTAGGTTTGAAATGGAATTGGAGGAACGAACCGTCGACGATAGGCTTCGAGACTAGTGTGGATTCCGGGAACTAGGAGAGCTAATCAGCGGGAGCTGGTTTAGACCGTAAAGCGAGAAGTATCTGCAATTACCTGGTCAGCCCAGCGAGTTGCAAGCACATTTGGCTGCTCCCCTTTGATTCTCAGAGCTGGTACAGGAAGCAGGAGGTCGCCTTTGTCCAAGATTGACGTTCGTTGCAAGGCTAGGTAGATAGTCTTCGGCTGGACATCAGATAATTCTGATAGGGTGTTGGATATGTGTATGCGATACGCGTCCAAAGGATTGAGAGCAGGGAAGCAATCTGGGAGATCAGGCTGATCGATGTGAAGCTTCTGGAATTGTGCCTCGGGAGGGTCGGCCATGACTGCTAGGGGTGCTAGGTGCCTGACACAACGACGAGCAGATGAATGTAGAGAGAATCGGTAGACAGAAAGTCGTCTAGCAATCAGGTAGGTAGCTATCATGTACTGGGGCGGGGAAACGATGTTTGCGGCGTTGACTCATTGTTGTTGAACCAAAACGCTTGGCGCATATGCATACATCACCGGTCTTGGCAAATATCCGCTGATCCTGAAAGGGATGACGCACGTGATATTATGGTAAGCGAAATAACCTTGGAAACATCATTTATGAAACATTGACAACACTGCTCAGGCGGAGCATTAGCCACCCCGAAATTCACCTTTATCGCTTTCAACGTTTTCTCCCAATAATGGACATATCCGTTATTCGCATTTGCTACACACCTGCAACAGGTAGATGTAATTGCCTCATGTCTGACGCTTGCTACGACATTTGAACATCTCAATTCAATGCCAGTGTTAGAGACTTAGGCATTACCTAAGCCTTGTCCTTAAGCTAGAGGGGCGAGTACTTAAAAAAGACACGCTTCTAACGCTTCTTCTTCCTTATAATAAACAATAACACTTAAGATATTTACGAACAATTGCTTCCTAAGCCAATTCCTTAACAGCCAGTTGGAAACGGGCAGAGCTAAGCATGAAAGCAAAGATAGTATCGACTAAGTATATTATTAGATCATCGCATATTGCATGTATTTATTCGGCGACAGTATTAAAATAAAAGCGAGACGTAACCCATAGAACTCAAATAATATGTTACAGTATGACAAGCAGCCCTACAAATTGCCACCAAACCTAAGACATTGCTAGAGACCACAACTTTAGTAGTCCCAGAAAGGCATTCGAGGCACCCACTATGTGCTACCCAGAAAATTCGACGGTCAAGGATCTCTAGGGTTAGAGGACGAGTTTGTGTACCAGAATGTCGCAAACCGTGTCCATGTTTACGAGCGCATATGCCGTAAGGCACTATGAGAAGATGGCTCATCCACTTAGGTAACTACATATGTAATTACTTTTGCTCATCATCTACTCCAGCCAATAAAGATGGCGTGCAGACCAAGTTCGCAATAAAGCACTAGAAAATGATTATTAGATAGCCACAGTACAACGTCTTAGGTAAATTGATGATGCGTCAGCGCGATGATCACGATCGGCAGATTCGGCACGTGACGGGTATGACGACACCGTGATTTGCTTATAGATCATAGGCAAAGAAACTATTTCCTATCCCGGTCGCTACAGGCCCCGCAGATAGGGAGTGTAGTTAAACGTGGTTAACACTCTTCCGGGGATATGTCTGGAAAACAAGCCTTTAGTATTAAGAGATGGTCAAACGAGGTGGACGGATATCCGTTCTCGCGGAAGCAGCTGATCTAGAAGGGCGGCCTGAGATAAAGCTAGAGAAGGGCACTGTGTGATTTGATTACGTTCACGAGCAACAGAAACTATATATCCACGGGGAAGACCGAAACAGCGAGCGGGGGAGACGAGACTAAAACTTCAACGCAGCAATCAGTGCTGATAGCATTTCAGCATAAAAAGCAGATAAAATTGCATGAATAAGTGTCGTGCCACCTGTGTGAGCCAGCCGTATGTAGGCTACATGGAACGAGTGACTCAGCCATACGCCTTCTGAATCGATACCAACCATACTGATGGTTGCGGGAAAAATCAAATCTGTTTTTTTTCCCAACTTGCATCTACCGTTGTGTGCTTCGCGTTGCCCCTCGCCTTGAATTTCCTTAAGAATTCCGGTCGTTGATTGTGTCGCCTGTATGGTTTCCTGGGAATACTTGAATAACAGCGTCACCCTAATAACAATATTGACGAAGATTGCAGTGCAGTAAGATTCCATTTAAAAAGATGGAGATGCAATGCTGCGATGTTGAGTTATCAACAAAAGTAACAAAACACACACATCAGCAAGTCTTTGCGGAAGCTGGTGACGTAACGCAACGTGATTGGTACGACGCTCGTATCTTATCATCAGTCACACAATAAGGTTTTGCTTATGTGTCCATGCAGACGTGTGCTGTGATTATTCTGCAGCTTCTCCTAGATTCCCGAGTACTTAGAATTCAGAGTCACCTTTTCTTTCATCCCACCCAAACCCCCACGTAGGATTTGCTTTTGTTACACTTCTTACATATTTTTTCTGTGCGCGTCTAACCACCATTGAGCCTTCCACTTTTTAATTAGGATCCCCCCCGATACGATGGGAGAGTTTGAGAAGCATGATGCATGTTCAGCCTGCGGATGGTCAGCTGATTTGCAGCGCCGTTGCTCCTACGATAGCAGCGTTAAGTTGTTCTACGGAGCTTCTGTTCGTGGGGTCTGGTCCATCGGATCCGATTTCGTTCTCAAGGAAAGACCTGCCGATCCTCCAACATTCGAGGTGGTCAACACACAATATCTCAAGGCAAACACCACGATCCCTATCCCAGATGTTGCAAAGGAATGGACAGACAAAAATAAACGTCATTTCGTTCTAATGGAGCGTGTCGAAGGCGAGAATCTAAAATCTGCATGGCCAAAACTCTCTCAGGAAGCAAAGGTGCGGATTGCTGAACAGACAGCAGAATACCTCCAACAACTGCGGAAATTTCAATACGGCAAAATGGCGAACCTAGGAGACGCCCCCATCTATTCCGGCTGGCTCTTCCTTCAGGGTCCAGGTACCCCACATGGCCCCTTTGCGTCCGACGAGGAATTCTGGCAATCGTTGTCGGTCAAGCTAGATAAATTGCCAGAAAAGGCCCGAAATGCATTCCGCAAACGATTTCCTCCTTGCGCACCCTATACCTTTACACATGGTGATCTTACCAATGTCAACATCATGGTCAAAGATGACAACTTGGCTGCCATCATTGACTGGGAGAGTGCAGGTTATTTCCCAGTCTGGTGGGAGTTTACCGCAGCAGGTATCGGCTTAGGGAAAGAGGATGCTGAATGGAAGGGTCTGTTGAGGAGCAAAATGCAACAGTTTGAGAGGGGAAGAGAGTTTTGGAAGGACTTCCACAAGCTTTGCGAGTATCCAAAATTGGACTATAGTGGGCAAGAGCTGATGAAAGAGTTACTCAGAGAATAGACGTTCGATGTTATTCTTTCATAGCCCGTTTGAAAATTATCGTCAAAAGTCTTCGTTCATCACTCCTCATTCACCTGCTACCTTTTCTTTGCTTTATTCTACTTTATGATTTCCAGCGACTCTCGACAGATGCAGTCTCGGTTAGAATCCATTGAAAAGGCTCTGGCTAAGATCAATACAGCTGCAGCAGGATTAACCTCCGTAAAGTGTAAACATTCACAAATGCAAACGCATTGAAGAAGTATCTACTATCTTTTCGCAATCACTTAATTTACCTAGTTCAAAGATGGCAGAAGGCGCGATGCTTATTGTTGTTTTCTAAAGCATATATGCATTGCTTGCAGATCTTAGTTGTTAGCAGTTAGTGCTGGCGGCATCGAGCAGTCAGCGATGGCAGATGTGAGGGAGAATGCTAGACTTCGTCTTCTCCCGGAGCTCACGAAACGCGCATGCAGTTTAAAGTCATTAATCGTCAACATTATCACACAGGAATGAAATGCAGAAGGTGAAGACGTTCCTTCGCAATGATGATAAATTGTTGATGATCAGCAGTACTGTCAAACACAATAAATGCTATTGAGAATTACATGAATAACCTACAGAAGCCTCCACATACCAACAGAAACGCGGATACTCCTGTTGCTCTGCTCTAAGTCGACAAGCCCGAATCTGTCCGCGTCACCTGCATCCGCCCCGTCTCGCTCAGCGATTGCCGCTTCGGCCCTTTCGGCCCTTGGCTCTGGGTACGCAGCTCCGCCGACTTCGCTTAACCGCCTACTATCCGTCTTACTAGACAATGTAGCAGGCTGGTAGCTACATATGTATGCTAGTAGCACTTGAGATGTTGTCTAGTACACCATGAACACCGATTGAGTATCACAAACAAATGGCAGAACCTTTGCCCCAAAAATGGGCTGCAGAGGTGGGCGGCACATTAGGACTCAGAATCACCGCGGAAGCCAAAAAATGGTTCGTGGGGATCAGAATAAGCTCCTGGGCCTGATTGGTTGTTGCGCGATTCTGTCAGCAGGCCCTACGCCTGCGGAAGGTCGTTGAGTTATTCAGCACGTTTAGTTTTTTGCGTCGAGTCGTACGACCGTACAATCAAGTACGACAAGCGGCAATCTCTACATCTTGGGTCTCGCACTGAGGCTATCGCAGGGTTGAGGCCGGCCCATAACTGACGACGCCATCGATCTGAGGATGCTTCGCAAGGCGTCAGCGGATGGAACGCAGATCATAATTAGTCACGCAAGTATCGACGCAGAAGATCGAGAGTTGAGAAACAGCCAGGTCAGACAGATTTCATTTGATATAGCAAGAGCGTATTGTGTCGAAGAGGATAGAAGGAAAGGTAGGAACGAAACAAAGAGAGTCTCGAATAGTCTCAATACACAACCATTAATTAATTCTCCCACTAGACAACTTCTGTTTGTACAATACGGACTCCAACGATGCATGGATCTACACCGTCTCACCTCGATGACAATTTCAAGTAACTTTCCCATCATGCCGTCAAGTCTCCACAATTCAAGCGTCTTCGATTATGGCATAAAACGCCTTCTTCGAAATCGTAAATGTTGGTCCGTTGGGCATAGCACCAGGCGATCTCGGGAACACTGAAGCATCAACCACGCGCAGATTGTTCACCCCGTTAACGCGGAACTTCGAATCGACACAATAATCCTTGTGCCCCGCTGGACCCATGCGACAAGTTGATGTTGCGTGGTGACTGAACGATTGATCCATGATCCCTTGCTCCATTGGAATCTTTGGGTCGGGTTCGATCCTGGTATAGTTTATACCAACGGCATCGAGGGAGTTTAACAGAAGTTCACTCCCCTCTACTAAGGCCTGCAGGTCCTCTTTAGCACGATGCGTGAAGTAATTGAAGTTGATAGCGGGGGCCTGTCGCGGATCCTTTGATTGAAGCGTAACTGTGCCTGCTGGATTCTCCATCTGCATCTTGACAATAGAGGTCGTCCAATGGTTTGGGGCTGGTAGCGTGTGCGAGTATCCTGGGTAGAACCCTGTTGTTGCGAAACCAGCTAGACTTAGCAAGAAGAGGTCGGAATCTGCGTCCCAGCTGGCACTGGTGCGGAAGGTTGAGAAAAACGTGCCAAACATAACGGTGTAGGGCCCAGTAGCATTGGTCTCCCACTCGACGAAGCAGGGATCGGAATCATCAAACGTACCAGTGCATGGGGAGGGAGAGGCGGTAGTATTCATCCATGGTTGATCAGCGCGAATCTGGACGGCCGCTTCGTAATTGTCCATCATATAGTTTCCCTATTCAGGCAGTCAGAAATTTACTGTGAAGCCGACATATCATGTTCTTTCATTGGCAGATATATGCTTACCACAGCTGGTATGTCAGCAACAACGGGAATGCCTAATTGCTCCAGCTCGTCCCGGGGCCCAAGACCGCTAAGCTTGAGGATCTGCGGGGTGTTGAAAGTGCCTCCTGCTACGATGACCTCTTTCCTCGCGCAGACAGTTCTTGTCTCCCCAGTCGAATTGGTGTTGTAGCGATCATCAGCGGAATACAGTGCCTCGCCCATCATGTATTCGACACCGACGGCCTTTGGTTTTCCGTCTTCCCCGTTTTCGGTGAGAATCTTGGTTGCTAGAGAATGAAGGCTTAGGGTAAGGGGGTACCCCGCGTCTATAACATCATTGATGTAATCTGCAATGGAGCTCCTGCCACGCGTTGAAGCGGATATAGCGTTTGGGAGGGCGAATAAGAACGGTTTCTCATAACGGTCGCTGTCTATCCTGTTGATATCGCGCTCGAACAACTCCGCCATTTGCTCCATGCTTTCGGGAACGATGTCGCCAGATCGACGGAATATCTCTCGCACATATTCATACGTGTTGGGAGAAGAAATTGGTTGCAAGAGATCTGTTGAGTGGCTCGTCTGTATGGTATGTCATCAGTACTTCACTTTCCTAGTGTTTTTGAATGAAGATGGTCGATTACCTGGATGTAACCATCGAATCCGTGGCCAGGTGTGCCCGCAGGGACATATGTGCAGTTCTCAAGCTCTATCAGGAGCTCGCGCATATCTTGATGACCCCATGAATTATCGCCAGTAAGATTCGCAATATGGTCCCATTCGTTATCAGGTGCCCAGGCAAAATTCATGGCGTTAACCTGCGAACTGCCTCCAAGGGTGGCACCTCTTGGGTAGTACAACCCCAGACTGGACGTTATCAGTTTTGGCTGCTCAGAAGTGAATTTGAAGACCTACGGCTCGGCATCACTCGGAGGATCTGGACCGATATGGTATGATCCGTTCTTCAACAAGTATGTGTATTTGAGGTCCCGGCGGCCTTGCGTCTCGTTCGCATAGTGCTTTACAAAGAACTGCCAGGAATGAGGGGACTGTTCAGACGCTGCGCCCTGTCTGCAAGATAGATTAATTTTATTATTACAATGACGCCCGGTACTTTCGCTTACAGTGCGGGAAGCCGCTGGTAAATATCATCTGAGGCGTCACCTCCTGCTTCGAGCAGAAACACTGAGTGTCCTTCTCGCGCAAGGTTTGCTCTACGACTAAAATCAGTCTAAATTCTTTGAAAGGTCCTTGAAATCAACTCACGCAAGGGATCCCCCTCCCGGGCCCGATCCGATGATGACATAGTCGTATTCATTTTCAGGAGCCGCGACCGATGTACCAACAAGGGCAGCGAAGAGAAAGTAAGGAAGGAGCATGTTGAAAATTGAACGAAACGAGAACGGTGAAAGACTGAATAAACTTTTCAATCAGCTTTAGACAAGACGAAAGACGAGAGATTTGTAAGATACAACCTGTGCTTGTCGCTTACAGGAAAGCTGTGGGTGCTTTTAGTGAAGTGCAAGTTCGTCAACTACTTATATGTCCCCCTTGAGGAAGATCTACTCCCTTAACGAACAATTGATCCATGATTCGCCCATCGAACTCTGCCTCCTGGCCGGACGAAATCCAGAAAAGAATCTCGACGTTTTTGAGCTAAAGTCCGAAGATAGGGGAGTGAAAACCTGATCGCTCGAATTTGGTCCGAAAGAACTGACGACTACCTGCAGTAAAAAAGATCAGTACATACGAAGTAGGACCCCTAAAAATGTTGAATAGGTTAGTGTGTTGAATCGCGCATCGCAATAAGTCAAGTTGATTGATGACACACTTAGCCAGATAGCCCAGCTAAGCGATATGCTGACCCGTTGCATTTCCACATTGGGTATACAATTCTACGCGAGATCAGCCTTGGCAGTTCGTGGCTGTGCCTCAGCTACCAATAAACGCTTGCATAGGGAAATTGAGGTGAGATTTATGGATGGCTGCGGGTACTATCCGGACAGAAAAACAGCAAACGCGGCTGATTGGCTGTAGAGTAGACGACGAATTGTTCAAGAAATCGAGTTTGCAGGCAAGCCAGATCTGAGCCCGAGGACAGAAGTGTTCACGCTATCAACCCACGGGAAGGTTACGAAAATGTTGGGAACGGCAAGTTTAGCTGCTGAGTGATCACAAATTTCCTGTTGCTTACCTTCGGCATAGCGAAGTAGTTAGGGCTTTAGCCGTACCCTTTGAGTTCGTCGCGTTCGACGATATTAAGAGCTTTTTCGCCCCTTATTTCTCCGAGAATCTTTTCTCCGTTTACACTTCAAAATGCTGCATATATTGATATACGAAAGTATGTATAGAAGTTTTCGTCAACCGTGTGCGGTTCCAGCAAAGAAGCTCGAGCTATGCTCAACAAGAACGTCAACGGTGATTAAGGTGACCACGGACTCTCAACCAGGCACTCTCCTCGACGACATGAACCGCATCATGATTCGGGAGATTGCAAAGTCTTTTGACGACCTGCAGCCACCCAGGGGCGAGAAACGCAAAGTTGGCATGTACATGTGGGTGAGAGACAGCATCACTAGGACGACCACGAAATCTGTGTACGGTCCCATGAGTCCTTACGAAGACAAGGCCATCGCCGACGCCTTCTGGTATGTTCAGTCCAAACTATTTACCAAGCACCATGTTTCGTTTTGTGCATGATCTAATCTTCCATATTATCTAGAGAGTTTCAGAGTGGGCTTATTTTCATACTAGTCAGCCTTCGCTTACCGCTCGCAAGCTCATTGCTGCTCAGAGTAGAGTGTCTGATGCTTTCCAAGAGTATTACAAGGCAGGGGGTGTAGATAAAGCATCGGCCCTCACCCGCATGCGATACCAGGTCGAAGTAGATCACAACGTCCCACTCGAGGACATCGCACGCTACGAAGTGGGAGGCTCAATTGCCGTCTTGTTCAATACTGCCCCGTTGGCTTTCTAGACTCTGCTTCTACTCCACTCGCATCCAGGCCTCGTTGACGAAATTCGCAAAGAAATCGACTCTTGCACCGAATCGTTGCCATCGACGAAGACCGGTACTACGACCAAGACCTTGGATGTGACAACTCTGGAAGAAAAGTGCCCTTTACTTCTGTCAGCGTATCAGGAAGGTCTCCGACCTCCATGGGAACATCAGTACGCGAAGTCATGGAGGACACTCTTTTGGAGGGGTTTTTGCTGAAGAAAGGCACAATGCTTCAGATGCCGAGCCGGATCATCCATCAAGATACGGATCTCTGGAGCGCCGATGTGACTCAGTTCAACCCCCGCCGCTTCCTGCCAGAAGAGAAGAAAAACCGGCCGAGCGAAGCTTGCTTCCGTGCATTTGGTGGCGGTAAGACGCTATGTCCCGGGAGGCACTTTGCTACCAACGAGATTCTTGCTGTCGTTGCGGTGTTTATTGCGCGCTTCGATATGAAGCCACTGGAAGGTGACTGGAGGCATCCTTCTACCATCAACACAAATGTTGCTGCGGTTGTCATGGAGCCAGATGATGACATTGAGGTGGAGGTAGAGACTCGGAAAGGCTTTGAAGATGTAGACTGGGAGATTAAATTGCACAAGTCTGAGAAGATTTTCGCTATGGTGACGGAAGACAATGAAGGGTAAGGCGTGAAGTATCTGATCTGGAAAGAGAACGGTACAGATAGATGTTGAATTTGAGGTAGTGAAGTGATATTTGTATACCTGTGCAGACGAAATGAGGGGATGGATAGTGGATTTATCGCATCCTCATGATACTTTGAAAAGTGATCCAACAGAGCAGAGCTCAGATTGTTTCGATTATATAACGGATACTTCTACTCTTTAAGAGGTAGACTCCCTCTGATAGGCCTCGGGAATCCCCTGGCACATGTCCGGCCAAATGTATAATCTATTGACCCTTTCTCTAGCAAATCCGTGAACTTCTTAAGAACAACTCTCTACACTTCTGCACAATATTGCGCACACTATCTATAGTAGTTCAAAAAAATTTAATTTAATTACATAATTCTACGAGTGTTCGCGCAAATAGTATAAGCTGCTAAATGAGCTCCGCATACTGTATCAATAAATTGAGAATAGACACGCGGAATTCGAACGCAACGCTGCCAAGCATTAACTCAAAGCAGCGCTTACTTGCAGGAAAAGTCAGTGCACCAAAGAAACTGCAAATTAGTAGCCTACTTTTAGACTTAAATACTCGAGTAGGGCTATGCTCAGCTTAGTAGTAGGGTGCGTGCCCTACGGAATATATACTAGTCTACACCCGTTGCCTCATTTGTACAGTGCTAAATACACTTATTTATTATGGCCCGTTTTGGAATGTGTGCATGATTTCAATTAGATATATAATGGCATGGCTTGCACCGATATTGATTCATCACCATCCAACTACATTCTACTCTCGTTTCTACTCTACACCACTCATTCTCAAAGAGCCTACCAGCCATCATGCAGCTTACTTCGATCCTCGCACTTCTCGCGGCCGCAAATGTCCCCGTGGCCATGGGCTTCAAGGTTATCGCCTATGGTGACCGGGACTGTGAGGGTTCCGAGTCAACCATCAACGTCTGGGACAACAGCTGCCGTGATCACGGCGTCGCCGACACGTGGTCCGTCCGGGTGTTGAACTACGGGGGAAAGGGACAACGGGGGCGTTTTTACGCTACAAAGGAGGCATGCTGGTATGGGGCTGATGATGCATACTGGGTTGATGGCGGTGATGGGGGTTTCCAGGAGGGAGAATGCGTCAACTTCGACAAGGGAATGAAGGCCATGGGTTCTTCTCGTATTAAATAATTGGTAAGGGCATTGCAGCGAGAGTATTTTTTGTATCACTGCTAATTGTTGCGAAGCAAGTCCTGCAGCGCATATCAAGGCAAACAACACCAAATCCTGAACTTGGAAGGTGTCAGCAAAAGCTGTTTCCGCATGAGTCTTATGCGTGTTTTCTTAACTCGCCATAAAGACTCATGGAACAGTCCATATCGGCTTATTTCTCTTCTTCTCTGATTGTGCAGGGCTCGATACATTCGACATATTCGGAACCGAGTACCCTTAATGAACCATTCGACTCTAATCGGATTGAACTCACCCGATGAAACGCTTCCCAGACTCACTATCTTATTTTACCCATTCTAGAAACATAAATTTATGAAGTACATCTATACTACTATTTGTCCATGCGTGCCGAAGAATCTGACTGTGCCGAGAAATGCCACCAGTATTGCAGTTTCAAACAGTACTTATACAGTAGCAAGGCCAGGGTTTCTAGCTTCCTGCCTCGTGTACAAATGCGTACAGTTGGTTAATTATCGCTAGCGTGTGAACATCTGCGATTGTATAAGAGAGACATTGGGATTGCAGTGAAGCAGCCTTAGCACTGTTTTAGAAAGGTCCAGCCTGCGCCACCACCACGCAGTAAGTCATCTTCAGATCTTCAAAGCGGAAAGCAGAAGTGAATGAGTTAATGGGCTAGGAAAAGAGTGGCCAATTTGGGGGTTGGCGTGGGGGTCTTCACCGCTCTGTACGTATTCCTCTCTCCCAGACTCCTATAAGATCCTGTCAAACAGTGCGCCGGAGTCTAGGCTGATAACAAAAAGTAAGTAATGTGAAACTAAGACATCCCTCGTACGCGTCTTGCTACACAAATACGTATACTGATTTGTTTCTACACCATGCAAAAACAGCAAAAAACATACAACAGCAGGTATTCGCTAGTGGTCACCCACCTAACTACTAATCCGCCGGTACCATGCTTAAGTACAGCTGAGCGGACGGGAAGCTCTGTTTTCATGGTCCTATGGTCGTATGTGGAAGTGAAAGTGAGATTGTGGCTTTAAGTACAGAGTGATAACGTTCCCACACAGAACACGCGCAAACCGATGCGTCAACTAGGCCCGGTACAGGCGAGCTACTAATCCTCCCGCAGCGCATGTTGCTTGTCGATTCGAATCTCTAATAGGCTAGTATCATCCTTGGACCCGTTGCTCGCCGTTTCACTCCCCCCCGTGCGTCCCAAATCTCTATATTCCTATGGAACCGGTCGCGACCTACACTGTCCACGCAACCTTCTTCTTTAGTTTCCGCGTGTGCTTGACAAAGAGATCCACCCCACATAAACAGGACACATTACAAGTAACTACGTGTACTTGACTTCCTTTCTCAAGCCGACAATGTTTTCTGCCGGTCCAAACCCTACATGTCGATCCTCTCCTTTCTGGCCGCTGCCCGGCCCCTTCTCGCTCGCTGTCATAATCTCCCCAAATTGCAACCTTATTTTTGAATGCAGTACGGGTACTGCCCCCAGTGAATGGCCTCTCGATATCACGTCTAGTTCCTCATTCCGGGTCGTAGACACTATTGCTGAGAAGGCGGTGCTGTGAGCTACCCCGTTGTACTGAAGTGCGAAAAAGCCGACAGCGACACAGAGCAGAGTTACAGACAATGTGACGCTGTAAGAGACGAGCAGGTTCCGGCCATTATAAGCGTAGACGTTGACGGTAAGGGATTCAGACATATAGACAGAGGTGCCGTTCTGGGTTCTGTGGGATGATCAGCAGTGCGTCGAGGAGTATGCAACAATCACACGTATCGGAGACATACGCTAGAGTAGAGCTGAGCATGCTGATGGTGAAGTTGTTGGCTAGGTCCTTGATTGCCCTGACTAAGGTTCTGTTACGACACATCTATGCGGGTTTGGTGAACAGATTGTTGGATATTTTGGAGAATTTTGCTGATGGATCGATATTGAAACCTTCTATTGGACCACCACCAGCGTTGCTTGAAGAATTGGGGTTGCCATACCCCTCTAGGGCCGCACCCGCTTGCTGCCATAGTACTGGTCCATCTTCTCCTATTCCAATTGCGTTATCCCTGGTCCACTAGAGATAGAAAGTATCAGTGACCCTCATTTGAACTGTTGAGCCAAACATGAAAACATTCTGTCTTGAGCACCGAGAAACTGAACAGCAACGAAAGGGGACGAAAACACTCACGTAGCCAGCCACAATCTCGTCGCATGCACTGAGTCCGTGCTGCAGGATCTTGCTGGTACCTTCATATACGCTGACGTTACCATCGAAGGTGATCCGCTGACTGTTCCCATGATCCTCTCCGTTGGTAAGCGTGGTTGATATGTTGCCATTCAGCAGGCCAGAGAGGGCCAGATACATTGCCATGTACGAATTAAGGCCAGCTATGACGCCTGGGCTGTATTGATGATATGGCGTCACCTGGTAGCCAACATCTCTCACCTTGTACATCGTGAAATCTGTAATGACGTATTCAACCTTTGTCTGAACGGCGTTCACAAACTCAAACAGAACATTAAATGAAGCATTCCCGAAGGTACACACGATCCCTTGATCAGCAGTTTGTATCCATAACTGCTGCACGATTTCCCAGTGATCGGCCAGTACATCATCTGAGTTGGAGCGTAGTTGAAATTCTAGCGTATTGTTTGGTGTCCAGTTGTTGAAGGCATCTACGGGAAAAATGACGTAGTCTCCGAATTCCCGAAGCCAACCCATCCGACCTGACGAGGGAGAAAATGCCGAATAGACATTCATGAGTGGTGCAATGCCGCCTGGTATCCCCTGTTCTCCCCATCTGAGTTTACTAGATTCGAAGAGCGACTTTGTAACTTTCATCACGGACTCATTTGCCATGGCATCTGCAAGATTTTCAAGGAGAGAATTCTGGGAACTGTCGGCAAGAGAGCACTGCATGCTCGGCCCAAAAAATAGTAGATTGAATGATGAATTGGGCGCAGGCGGCGTGGGGAGAATGACGGCCATTGATTCAGCAGCAAGTGTGGCAATGCGAAGAACTTCGGGACTCGGTTGAGCTGCATGGGATTCCATGTCGTAGAATCTTGTGGTATTCCAGTCCAATGACGGCCAAGATACCTTCCCGGTGTGGTTCATGGAGCCTGAAACTACCGAAAGCGTAGCTGGAGGTGCAAGTCCGGCCAAGGCCATGCACCTGTAGAGTGTGTTAGCTTGCCGGTGTTTACAAAGCGCTGCAGAGGGATGGGTGCTACTAACCAGCACGCGAGAGCTATGAGATAAGCGACTTTGGCCTGTCGCAAGAACTCAACGCTGAATAGCGCGAGCGGGTCTTGGGTGGCAGCGAACAATCGGTCCACCGTGCGAAGAGAGAAAGACTTGCGCTTGAATAGGGTCCATATGTACTGCTTGTAGACGATTGCGCAGGAGACTCTAAGGCAGGTGATGGTAAGAAAGGAAAATGCGGTGCCGAACCGCAAAGCGAAGTTTTGACGAGTCGAGGAGCCGGGAATGGTCCTGTCGAGCGAATAATAGTAGAAGTGATGTCCAAGGGCCAATCCAAGGCCGGCAAGCGCCCACAAGACCATGAGCATAGGGGTTATCCACGCGATCTCCCATCTTACGTATCTCTCTTGACCCGCAGATTCTGCGCGATCGCTGTTCTCCGTGATGAGATGGTCCTTGGGATCCGACCCTTCTGGGTTTCTCTCGGATAAAGGGGCATGATTTATTGCGGCAGGGTCTGTTGGTATAGACGTCATACCTCTCGCGTCGTGTGATGAGAGCTCACTGATTGAGCAAGGACTTGATGAGCTTGCTGCGATCGGCTTTCGCGAGATTCTTTGTGCCTCCATGATAGACCTGTGCACCGCGAGTTGAATCTAGCAGTTGTCGTGCTTTTGTTGAAGACACTGGATAATAGTAGCAATGAGCGGAAAAGCCTCTGCTAACTCAGACTATAGAAGTGTAGGCTGATCTTGATGCGGGGTTAGGCAAGGCTGACCCAGATATGAGTTAGGCATCCAGAGCGTTTACATCAGTTCTATCTTTTAAGCAGGGTGTTTGTGATAGCTAATGGCTGATTCATTTAACAAAACCTTCTTCGAATGAGCATTGAATAGAAAGAAGAAGTCTCATAATGAGGGGTGCGCGGCCGTGTAAGCACTTATAGGCATAAGAGACCACTGTGCAACAGAACGCCCACAACACTGCATTCCGTAGATCGAGAGGAATAATCCAGTCACCACAGGGCAATCCAGAAATAGACGCCCTTGTTCAGATCGGTGTGTGCTGTTCTCCGGGCTGTACGATAAGAACTGCATATGCAGGCAATCGATATCTCGTATCCCTGCCGTGTAACCATCACCGCCAACTAATCAGCCAGCGCTCCCGGAGCGCCATGTAGGAAGGCTGAGCACCTGCTATAATTGGGTTGTGCTTTAATACAAGACATTTGTTTGAGATTAATGGGCTCTAGAAAGCGCGTGAGTCCAACAACATCAGATGTCATGTATCTGCGTCAGACATGCAGTTTCCGGGCCATAGGTCGGAGTGGACCAGACAAAGATTTATTGGCTAGCCTCTGTCTCCAAGGGTCGAAGCAATCTTGGAATGACTTTTGTGCAAAGCGCATCGAAAAGATTGTTCAGGTCTTGGTCGACACCTTGTGTCTTCTGTTCAAACTCGTACATGCACTGCATGAGCTGAAGAAAGAAAGCCTCCCAAGTGTCTTTTCAAGAGTTGTAGTTGGGAATGTTGGCAAGGTGCTTGGGTACGTGAAATCCGAGTTTGCCGGTGGGGGACTTGCCCAATGCCCATACTAGCCGTGTGAATTTTGGCTACGATATCGACAAGTTCTCTGTTGTCTGGAAGCTTGTCAAACATATCGTGATACTCACAGAGGTAAAACGAGAAATCGGGATCGTCTTCGAAAACATCAAACCCAACAGGTCTGGGGACTCAGGGCATGTTGTCAGGGACGTGACTGAAATAGACCAAGTCGAATTCAAAGGCGCCCTTAATCGTACGGTTACCAGACTCGCCTGCGTTATACAAACTTCCTTAGAGTGTGAGTATCAGTTGAGCAAAGAACACGGACGTTCATGGAGTAGGCCTTGGTCTCGCCGCTCTCAAGCTTCACGCCAATTCGAAAGGTCTAATGGGATGAAACCCAAAAGTCATCCATTATATAACCATTTCATCATCATAAGATTGAACAGTAGGCGAACATCTGTGAAGAGGGAAGACGCTCAATATCTTACAGCGGAAGTACTTCTAGCTATGTAAGTTCAAGATCATCTAGATAATTGTTGCGTATAAGAAATCTCATGTAGAAATCACAAATCAGCGTTCCACATCAGAAGCCAAAGTGTATCCCTTCGACACCATATCTACACAGGAGGGGGAGTTCCAGGGTAGGCCTGATCAGTACAGGACGCATCGCAACCAACTCGCAAGTTGCTAGTGGGAACATCGTAGTCGTAATCAGCCGACCAGGCTATACTTGACATTAGCAAGTTTCGTGAAACTCGTCTGAGATGATGACACTTGCCAGTGTAGTCGCCCTTAGGGCTGGTGCAGCGTCGGCGCACAAAACCGTGTACCCTGAGCGCGACTTTGCTCACCCAAACGGAATGACACGAATCGTCGCTCCATCCACACTGTGCAGCAGTTGTGACAGTCTGACAGTTCTGGGAAGCGTCGAGGCGGAGGTAGCTCCCGCCTAGCTTACCTCCCAACTTCTCAATACCAGCAAGTTTCATCCCAATCGAGACATCAACACCAAGCTCGACAGTACCTCCATTAGTATATGTCATGCAACTCTGCGAAGTAACCGTCTGAGGCTGGATACTGCAACTGTTCTTATCCACAACCTTGGCTCCGTTCGCGTCTTTTGCGCCACCGCAATCGATTTCTATCAGGGTCTTTTCCCAGGTAACGGCTACTGGTTCATTGTATACAGTCATCTATGCCTGTTAGTCCTGGGGGATGGGCTTCTAGATAGTGGGATAAGAAAATGAAGATGCATCAAGGATCGCTCACAAGATCAGTCCAGCACTTGACACCAGAGGCATATCTGTGCTCGTCGGCACTTTCAACGTATTTACCGTCTGTTTCTGTGTTCCAACGAGAATTTTGACCGGTATGATCCCCATATGTTTCGAAACTAGCTCCACGGCTGTCTAAAGTCACTGCCTCTGCAGATGGATAGGCCAGAGCATGCTCAGCCAAGCAAAGAAAGGAAATGATTGATGCAATCTTGGAGTAATGCATTTTCATCGAATTAATGATCATGTAAGAGAGCTCTGAGTTTGGAAGTGGTAATGAGTGATGTGAAGCTTGGAATGAGCTGGGGGCTGTTGCGACTGTATCGAGGTCTTTGACCTGGGTTAAATAGTACTTCAGGTCTTTAGCTTAAGCCATTCGTATCCCAGTTTATTTTTTTCTTTTCTTCAACTTTGTGGTCGCTTTTAATTTCCTCTTGCGTGTATGCTGACAATATGCAAGCCGGGCAGAGGAGGCTATGCGTTCAAAAGGTAGCAATTTGATTCGTTGTTTCGTATTCTCTATATTCAAGAATTAGTCATTCGTATTCAAGATCCACTCATTGGAGACTTTAAAATTGGATTGGAACCCAGAGCGTTTCGTTGTTGAATGCTCGGATGCAGTGTTTTCAGTGACGGAGCACAAGGCTGTGGCGCGATGCGGGCTGAAACTTAGCTTCCAATCGAAGACCTTCAGCCCCCACGACATATAGATAATATTGGTGTATCCAGCACACGGCGATGATTTGCCAGTCCCGGCGCTTAGGGAGTGGCAGCGCTTTTACACAGTTGATTCGGGTACTGAAGCAAGATTACCGTATACGGAACATCGCATCGACAGTATAACGAGTACAGGAACCTTCACCAAAGACTAGTCAGACAGGGAAATCTTTTTTCATGGTTCAATAGTCGTCGGTGGAGGTGAGAGTGCGATTTTGTTCCAAGTACAGGCTTGCTACTTTATAGAAATAAGTAAGAAACACGTAAAAGTCATAACTTTGCGCGTTCCTTGCATTACCCGCTCAAATAGAAGACACAAGACTCGGATCTACTTTTGGTAAAAAGCACCGAACCGAACATCTACCCCAGTAAAGCTAACTTTCACCGGAAGATATATACATCTGGGCGACATCTTGGCTGTGTGGGGTAAATTCTCCGTATGCCTATTTGGGCTCCCATGGTCACGTTCTGACTGGTGGAAACTATGGGGGTCGCCTACTATAAGTCCCCGCTAGTGAAGGAGAACAGGAAAAGTATTGTGAAATGGAGGGAAGCATCGGAATTATCTCGCCCGACGCGCGCAGCAGCAAGTTCGAATGATCATGGCTAAGCTTACCGAGGTGAATTTTGCATACAGGTTCTAAATTGATATTAAGAGTGTATGGCCAGTAATGAGTAAAGAGAAGTTTTAGCGCAGAAACGACGACGTTGAGCTGCTCACTCGTCATTCGCACAATGAAGCTCCTTTCTCTCATCCTAACCCTCTCCCTCTCCCTTCTCCACCTAGCCTCAGCCTACACCAATCCAATCCGCAATCCAGGCGGTGCGGACCCTTTCATCACCAAATCCGGCGATGGCTACTACTACTTGCTGAGCACGGAATGGGATTCTGTGCGCATCTCACGCGCGCTCACGATCGAAGGACTGAAGACAGCACCGAGTAAAGTGATTTACCAGTCTACGGCAACGAACCGGTGCTGCAATGTCTGGGCGCCGGAGTTGCAATGGATGGGTGATCGGTGGTATCTTTACTTTACTGCCGGAGGGGATGCGAACCTCGATAACCAGAGGGCGCATGTAGCTAGAGGTAAGTATTATCGTGACAGAACGTCATCATATCCCCGTTTCCACGTCTCTGGCTGTTCATGGCTGATGTTTCTGCGATCCAGGTGGTGTAAGCGCCTGGGACGACCCCTACACCTACGTCGGCGCCATGAGCAATCAATGGAGCATCGACGGCTCCGTCCTACGCTTCAATGCCCCCTGGGGCAACCACTTTGTCTACTCATGCTTCAACGGGCTGCAGTACCAATCCATCTGCATTCAAAAGCTGGCCAACGACAACGTGTCCCTCGTCGGCGCTGTCTCCGTCATCTCGCAGCCCACTGCATCCTGGGAGCGCCAGCAACACCCCGTCAACGAAGGTCCCGCACCGCTCTACATGGGCGGAAAAACGCACCTCGCCATCTCAGCCTCGTACTGCTGGAGTCCGGCGTATTGCTTGGGTCTGCTGACGTGGAATGGGAGCGGGAATCCTGTGCAGGTGAGTTCGTGGACGAAGAGCGGGGGATGCGTTTTCAAGAGCGCGAATGGGCATTACGGTACTGGTCATAATTCGTTTTTCACGGCTGCTGATGGGCAGATTTATAATACTTTCCATGCTACGTCGAATGCGGCGGGAGCTTGCGATGATAATCGGTATGCCATGGTTCAGCCGGTGACTTTGAGTAATGGGAATCCTAATTTCGGTGTTCCTGCGCCCTTTAGTCAGGCTTTTACTGAGCCTGCTTGATTGAGAAGGGATCGGAGTTTGGTGTATAAAGAAAATGTAGTCAGTTGGTCTACCAGTAGCCCGGACGTCGAGGCTTTCCGGTCAAAGATCGCGGTTGAACTTAACACTGAGAAACCAATTAACTTATCCCAAAGCTTCTCGACCGTGATTATGTCTAAGTCGAAAAGATTATGAAAACGGGTTGTTAGAACATATGCGGAGATTCCACAGGTTTATATTCTTATAAAGATTCATAAGCCGAGTGTCCTCTGCATGTGGACTGGTCGTTAGGATTAAAGTCGCGATGTTCCACTTTCCAAAACAGAGTTCAACAATTAGAGCGTATTGGGCAACGAGAATAGAAAGAACAGTTGCCAATCCCATCTTCCCGGCCATAGGCGGGACCTAAAGAGTGATGAGATGCAAGCGAGCGATGCACGATATGCGTACATCCCTGTATCGGAGGAAGATTGTAGCTACCTAGCTCTAATTCATTGATTGGACAAAGGATCATAAGAAAGCTATCGGTCGGTGGTGTAAAATCGCAGTTTAAAATCAGAGAACCTCACACATATTGTAGGAAAGCTCCACAAAATCATCGTCCCAGCTTCGCATCTAGATTCAACCCCACTCTTTGCTTCCCCACCCTTGAAACACGAGTGATGTGCACAAAGCACGCCTTATACATTGCCTCCATGCAATTTCATCAGATTCCCGTCTTAAGCGGGATGGTGAAATAATAGTGCGGGGAGTTTTCCCGATTCAGCCATTCCACCCACGCGGTAATAAGCCTGAGACGCGCTTGCAAGGCATTCGAATTGGCGAAAACAACCCAGCAGTTTTCTAATCACTAATTCTATAAAGAGAAAGAAACGGAAAAACTTAATTAAAATTTCAATATTAAATGAAGGACCATTATTTTTCCACCTCATCCAGTTAAGCAACGTGCCCCAAAAGGAGATGATTGGTTTTGGCGCAAGAAAGGTGACGGGTGGCACATCACCACTCCAATCACACTATATGAAGTGAGCGCTCATAAACTGCATCCTCTGCCACTTCCACATCAGCAAAGAAAAACACAAAAGTTTGCCCAGAATGTTTTTCTCTTCAAAGAAGCTGGCCATCGGCAGCATCCTAGCTGTGACGACCGGCGCCGCTATTCTCGCCCGCCAGTATGTCGGCCCTGGCGTTGTAACGGGCGCAACCTTCATCCACGACCCGACCGTCGTCAAAACCCCCAGCGGAACCTATCTGGCCGCCTACACGAGCGACAACGTTGGGCTCAAAACGTCCACCGACCGCACCGCCTGGAAGGACGCCGGTCCTGTGTTCCCCAACGGCGCGCCCTGGACCACCACCTACACCGGTGGCGCAAAAAACCTCTGGGCGCCCGACATCTCATACCACGATGGAAAGTACTTCCTCTACTACTCCGCATCGTCTTTCGGATCCTCGAAATCCGCCATCTTCTTAGCGACCAGCACGACAGGCGCCTCGGGCTCTTGGACTAACCAGGGCCTGGTGGTCGAGTCCAACGCGAACAGCGGGTACAACGCCATAGACCCGAATCTCATCATCGACAAGGACGGAAAATGGTGGCTCTCGTTCGGCTCCTTCTGGTCCGGACTAAAGATCGTGCAATTGAACGCGCAGACAGGCAAGCCCGCCAACACAAACCACGTTTCGATTGCGGCGCGCCCGAACAACGGCGGTGCCGTCGAAGCGCCGTATATTGTCTACCGCAATGGATACTACTACCTGTGGGCATCGTTCGATAGCTGCTGCAAGGGCGTCGATAGCACGTACCGCATCATGGTTGGACGGTCGAGCAGCGTCACTGGCCCCTACGTTGACCGCAATGGTGTTTCCATGATGAATGGTGGCGGCACGCAGATGTTGGCGTCTCATGGAGATATCCATGGACCTGGTCACAATGCGGTTTTCGCGGATAGCGATGGCGATGTGCTTGTTTATCATTACTACAATAAGAATGGGGATGCGAGGTTGGGGATTAACCTCATAAGGTACGAGAGTGGGTGGCCTGTCATTTACTGATCCCCACGCGGTCACTTCACCTCGTCGTTCGTTGCGGGCTTTCTATTCTTCAAGTACATATTTTCCGGCTTTGACTCGTCTTCGTCGAGTTCGTGAACAAAATTCTTTTTGGGCATATGCTATTCTCACCCGCCATATACATGCCTAGTCTTTGCACCGGTAATGCGCTGTTGCATGCATTGATTGTCGGAAAACTATACTTCTGTGAGGGTAACTACTTGGAGTATACTTGTCGGATCACATGCAATCTCTCACGTTGGGCAACTTGGGCTACAGTGACAGCTAACCCGATTTCTTTGGAAGAGCAAACATCACAAGCTCGTTTCTTGTTCTATGCTGAGTTTTCAATGGGTTGAATAGTATTTCACGACACAGATTTGCCTTCGTGGCAGCGCGCCATTTTATGGGAGAAATACCGTGTTCCACTGAATTCAGAATACGATACAGGGAAAAGGTCAATATGACTGCTGACGGATCTGCGTCTCTATGATGATCTGTCCCAGATCTCGTTCCTCATCTGATGAATGTCCTGTCCGCGTAGCCCATGCTGTGAATCCATCATTGTTCCCGGGACATAAGTCATCTCTTAGTCTGATAGATCCCAGGTCGCCGATTTCAGTCTCGTCTCTATCTTTTCGTGCATCCTTTGTAGTTCTAAATCTAGACCTCCATTGCGATGCTCGATTTTCCGATGGCCCCTTCGAAATTTCAAGATGACCAGTAATTCTGCGATACAGGGGACGTAGTGTGGCAAGGCTCCCGGCGGTGATGGCAAGGCCTTGTTCAATGTCGGACCAGATGGCGATGTCGAGGGTAGCCCATAGAAAATCGGGATCCTTGAAATCCATGATGAAGGCTGTACGGCAGAGGACTGCTACACTTGCACTGTTCAACATTAGCTTCAGACTAGCCAATATGATACGCATAAAACCTACATGCAAGCCATTCCAAAAATCGGAACCAGTAGAGCTCTTGTTCTGAAATCCATGTTGAGGCTCCAGACCAAGAAAATTGGCAATATGGCAAACGTAAAGTCGCAGATAATGGAGATGATGCTATAAAGAAAAGTGAGGCCGATGATGACATCGACATTGATGCAAGAGCCAGGGATCTTCCTGTTCCAGAAATAGTCGATGGGCCTGCACTGCAGCAGCGTGACAAAGAAGAAGACGAGGCCAGTCAAAATTGTGAGTCCCATTACAAGGTAGATCACGCGCTTGTGCATGGGCCTAATCGTAACGCGGAGCAGGAAGATTCCAATGGATAACTTTGCTGCAATCATGGCCCAGCAGTAGCCAATGTAGCAGATCCACCAGAACTGAATGATACTTTAGTAACCATTTTACGAGATGCTGAAAGGTACCTACTCTCATGGCCATGAAAACATCATGATCACTAAGAGTGCTCATATGTCTTCCGGTGCCCCATTTCACGCCACCTATGGCACAGCCAGCGAATAGAACATGACAAAGCTGATTAGTTACACGTCAGTACGGATAAGACCTGTTCATTTGACTACTCACGAGAGCAACAATCATCCATGCATCATCCCACCCAAACGCTTTCACAAGGAAAATGCGCACATATGCACGTAAAGCTGTTGATACTGCGGCTAACGAAACAAATGCGACAGCAACCTGGGAATGTCAGCGACATTTCCGGTGGAACTAGTCAATCATAAATATACCGCAAGTAGCTCCGGGCCACGGGACTCTTGGCGAGTATTAGACATTAGTATGGCGTGGATCAAGTTTCATAGACTGCGATCCGTCCTGGTTTCTCACAACAAGCAGGCTACCGGGGATTTATATTATGTCGGCCCCTTTAAACCCGCAAGTAGATCGATCATGCGAACGGGCACAAATACAAGAAGCGGGAAAGCCCAGTTCCAGGACGTGCCGCGTGCGTGGAATTGGGCTGCCACGCTGTAGATCCAATGCTTAGTAGCCTCGGAAAACACAGTACATGGGTGTTCTGGGCTAGAAGGTGACGATCACGGCTTGAACTGCTAGTCATTATGTGAGGTCTGTGATAACTTGGGTAACGGCGACATTTGAGTCTGGCTTCAACAAGCGGGCGCACACCTGGAGACTGTCGAAGTTGTGCGATCCTTCTGCTGATAACGTTGGGTGTTCACAAACTTCTACTTGTCCAACTGAAGCTCGCATTATTTCGAGGAGCTAAGAGATAGCTAGATGTAAGCGATGTTCTAAGAGATCGGCTACACCTAGGCGTCTCTTTAGTGTGGTCTAGCAGAGGTGCTAATAAGCCAGCTAAGGAATATTCCGTTGACACTGACACGCCTGGCGTTTTTGTCTAACCTGACGACGGCAGATTGTACACCAATGCCCCACGGCAGACATAGCCGATCCCAGTTATCTATCGCGCCAGTCTTTTGGCACCTTTATCAATCCTCGAGTTGATAAGAATCTATTGTAATTGACGATATCTGGCACAATAGTGTACGAAGAGAGTTTCTTTTTAATTGGAAGTTACAGTGATTCCTACACTTAAAAATAATGATAAAAATGATTTAACAAAAAGTAGGCGAGTACAAAAATGTTTAAAAAAAGGAGTTTTGCTTTCAGCACTAGAGGCCAGGGATGCAATACCCAAGTACGAAGAGATACAACGAAGTGCCCAAGGACTTATATACCTGCAAGTGAAAGTGAACTGATATGAATGTCACGTGATGTCACATGACTTCGACTGAGTCATTGAATTGCAATAGCCGAGTGGGAATTGGGGATCGAGGACCTCAACTTTCATCAATACATATACAACTCGAATGTGCTCTCGGTCATGCAACGAAGGGTCCATGGACTCATCCAACGAAGCAATGACTACTCCTACGAAGTAGAGCTGCACGTAAAGTTGAATGGGGCGAAAGACGCTATTCGACTTTTTAGTTCTCTAACCTATCTATGTTGGCGTCACTGTCGAGCGACCGTGAGCTCTGCCTCGTCTTCGCCATCCTCACTTTTATTGCTACCGGTGTAGGCAGCACTGCCACATTCCTTTCAAGTCCGGATCAGGCAACTGAAACCGTCCTGTAAGCAATACTGATCGCTGGGAGAATTCTGAAATCTGATTGGCCGTTGCTGTCATGTCCTCCTTTCCAGTTGACGCTCGGGTAAGCACAGTCCAAGAAATAAGGCCCCCGTAGCCCGACGAGGATGTACGAGTTCCTGAAGGTTGTCTCTATGGGGGCCTAAATTGGGGGCCCAAATTACCAGAAGGGTGCTCAGATTGCGAAAGCGACAACCTGAGGTGTATGGCTTATTATCAAATACATTTGAAACAGTTAGTCTGCGTTTAAGTGTTGAATGGAACGCATTGGGGTCTAGAAGTAGCATACAGATCGGACTTTTTAGGCCTTCCCAAGACTTCTGGGGGGGGTCCATTCGTTCGGATACGCAGCTGTGCCGCACGAAATGCGATGGTTGAGATTAACGCCAAGTGTAACTCAGCCTTCCGCCCCAATGCTGCATGAGCAGGAATGTAGTTTTCTGTTTTGTACATAGGGCTCTCTACGTCCCTCGGGAAAGTTAAATACAAAAACCAACTCTTACATTCTTCCTCCTCATATCCTACAAGCCTCTCAAATCCACAAGATACGGCCTCACCTTCCAAGACTCACAACATGTATCAATCTACCATGCTCGTCTCCTTAGCGCTTGCCGCTACCGTCGCCTCACAATCACAAGTAGAGCAGAGGGTTCTTTTTATACCTCCACCCATACCTACTACATTAACCATGACGGAAATAGGCGCCGATAGTACAGCCACTACTTACACCCAAAATTGCCCTGGGGGTATGGGACCCTCCACTTCATTAACCTGCGTGCCATTTCGCCTCGTGCAGGGATCAACAACACTTGAAATAGAGGTGAGCAGTTCTCCAGGTACAGCGGGAATCATCGCCAGACCACCACGCCAATTGAAGTCTTGAAAAAACGATGATGTATTGAGCGATCCATTTTTTCTCTTGAAGCTGACTAGCTTTATCTCTCTCATCTTAGGCATCGGAAACCTCATCCGGTATTTCGATAAACTTGGCGTGCAATTACCCGGACGGCCTCAATAATCAGGGTTCCAATGGATCATGCGTTGCGAAAGGCGAAGCAGCTGAGACAACCGTCGCGACAACAGTCGCGGGTCCGCTACAGAGTGAAGATATAAATGCTTTCCAGACTGTTCCTGTCGTCAAAGCTGGAGCTCAAGGGGGTAACTGTGAGTCCCCTGCATTAATTGAATGACACAAGTATTGATGCTGACTGGTATGAAGCTTCTGCCGCTGGAAGAACCGTTAACGTGTGCTTTATGGCCTCCATTGTGGGTGCTGTCGGTATTTTTGCCGCTAGCGTGCTTTTGTAAAGATTCTCAAGGTTTTCGGAGACTATGTTAGATGGCGGTGACTTTTGGCCAATTAGATTATGTCGAACTGGAATTCCGGGAGGTACCCAAACTTGGCTTGGAACTATGATAGCGTTCGTGTACGATGGAATATTTTTTCTTTTCTTTTGCGAGGCCAAATCCTCTGAACAGCAGTGTACTCGAAGTGAGAACTATTTATAAGTGTATATCAGTTACAACAATAACACAGATATATTATTTGTATTCGGAGTCGGCTAGCAAATGCGTTATTCTAAGTCGCACTAACAATTTCAACGAAGCTTAAACGTATCAACAGTTGGCTGAAAATGGACACTGCATAACATTCCATGCCAACCTACCACCTGTGTTTATTTATTTTCACAGAATAATTCTTCTGACTAAATTTCGTAGCTTCAGACGAGGAACTAGCATACGCCTAAGTTACAAAGATATCTTTCTAGCTGTAGTGAAAGGGACGGCAAGGTTTCAAATGGCGACGGCACTTGTTTTGATTCACTAGCTAAACATCCCACGTGGACTTCCAGTGCAAACTCTCTCGCTGCAAAACTCCGCTCCGTATACCCTGGCAAGCACCGACGTCTTTGAGCTGAGAGTGTGTCAGAATGGGGACCTAGTATGATAGATTGAGGATCTCCCAGGATATATCCAAGATGTGGTGCGTGTGTTATGATCAACGTAGTAGAAATCTCCGGAGGGACTAACACGTCGCTCCCACCCAGAAGGCAAATCCTTGAATCGATCTACAGATTGGTCCTCGGGTGATTCATTCCTGGGAGCTCGCTCGTCCCACTTCGGATCGTCATAATCACCCAGCTCTTTCAGGACTTTGCCTTGGGCAAGATCCATCCAATTAGCGGATTTGAGCTTATCGTAGCGTTCCACTTTCTCTTTCTCGTCTTCGAAACGAATAGTGAGATAGATGTATGCGCCGTTTGCTTCCGACTGCGAGAAAGTGTATTTTTCCCTTATCTCCTGTCTCGATCCAGAATCGTATGTCAACACTAGCGAAATCATTAGTCTATGATATTTAAGGGGAAATAGATAGATTGATTTACTTCTTTTCTTGAAATCGGCTTGGTACATGGCGTAATACGGACGTTCCCCTGATTTTGGTCTCAAAAAGCTCATCTCCAGTGTTCTGGAATGGAAATGAACCTTGTCATCTCCTTCATACCCGAGTAAGATGAATATGCAAGACTCGTCGGAAAGTAATCTGGTATCATCACTGATCAGTCCTGAAGAACCGGTCTTCACGGGCACTAGAAGGTTTCTTTTGGTAAGGGACACCGGGATCGTGTTGATGCTTCCATGTACTTACTGTCGACAGGAATTCAACTCCCAAGAAATATTCTCGGACCTTTTGTGTTTGGGTGGGATAGCGGCTGCCAGATCTTTTGATGTTCCATCAACAACGTAAATCTTGCCCCACACTTTCTTGTTTGTATCTACATATAGTTTGTCAGCTATAATTGTATGTGAGCAGCCGCGATGCCGTACCTAGCAATCTCCTACTACGCGACATGGTCCAATTCCATATCTCCACTTTCTCGAAAGTGACGGACCATTTCAAAAGTTCGCTTTCTGACTTGTTCAGTGCGTGGCAGATTCGATTGTAGTACCTTGTGGCGAGGAGTTTACAATCTGGCTCCAAACTTTTCAACAAAGATAGTGCATTAGCATTGCGACATCTTTCAATTGTCTTTGTGACGTGCTTGTTCCATTGTTCGGTCGGCGTCGAAAAAGTCAATTGTTTTGCTAATAGGGCGACCTGGTAGCTTCGCAGTTTCTCGTTGAGCTTGGGATAGTAATGGGCTTCGTCATGGTTTCCAACCTCGTGAGATATTTTTTCGAGTATGGTCACAAACCCCCAAATCTGGTGCAGGGCCAAGTGGACGTATCTAGATGCCTCCTGCAATTCCGGGGCAGGAAAGGGAATCTGATGCATTGGTGTGCCCCTGTTATGTAAAATCTGGCTGAAACAGATCATCGTGTCCAAATCTGATCTCGTCTGGCGGTCAATTGGGTTCTCAAACGGTATAAATCGGTATGCCAGTTCACGCGCAGCTTCCAAAGGGGCTTTGAACTCTTGGCTGCGCTGGAGCTCTTTCGGAACGATTTTCAGCCACCGCTCTTCAAAGTCATCGATCTTTTCGATCGCGGTGCGGGCTTTCTCGGCCATAATAGTGAAGCTGATGGCTGAAAGTGATGGCGCGCTGGCGTGTTTTAAATCAGCAATCGTGTCGTGATAAACGAGATGGCCAGACTGTTTTTGGACGCTCCAGCCCCATGGCAGAAATGACGACTGTCCTTTCGCCCCGGTGGGCTTCCCTGCCTGCGTTCCGTAATCTGACAATGTCGCGGAAAGCATATCTTTTTTCAAGTCCATGGCAGTCAAAATCAGTATCTTCATCAAAGTCATGTATTCGGCTTCATCAAACTGCCCGTTTCCATCGGCATCCATAGAGTAAACGGTGGCCCTGAGCCTCTGGAATCTTTCCGATAACCCGATCGATTTCAAAAGATCCTCGCACAGCCGCAGTACTTTGTGGTCAGCAATTGCGCCTTTGCGATCATAATCCTGTTGATGGAAAGCCCGCTTGATTCTCAAGTCCGGATTGGTCTCTGCTACATCTACGAACGGATCTCGATTGAAAAGCGGTAAAAGCATGTCCCGGACCCAACCCGGGTTGGGGGTGTCATAGGGTCGCCAGTCATCTGGCTTACTTCGATGTGAACTCACGCTTTCGGTCCGAGACGGAGGTCTTGATAGATCATCGTCCACGTTCAGAGTTTTGGGGCCGCCCGGGTAATTTGGAAGAATGCTCGGGGTCTCCTCAGCATCATCTTCCCGGACAGGAGGGACAGAACGCTCTTCGATTGTTCTATCGAGCGGAGTCAGGGCATGAGTGGTTGTGGGAGAGTTATTCTGATGCGATTTGTCAGGGATCGGCTCAATGTCGGGTTCGGCGGTCTCTGTGATCGTATCTATTGACTCCTCCAGGCCACCATCTTCCAGCATCTTTTCGACCCATTGCTGTATAAATTTATCATTGAGACTGATAGATACTGGATGGATATCCTTGTCCTCGAGATCTGCATGGATCTGCTGTGTGACTTCAGCGTTCGTAGTCTTGGCGTCAGCTTGTTTGTTGGAGAAGATTGCCTGAGAAACCACTGTCGGTTCTCTGGCCCCGCTCCGATATTCGCGCAGAATATCCTTCAGCTCGCTTCTGATCTCATTCACCGAATACCTTGATGGAAAATCAGCCTGGCGCATTTCGTAGGTGATTTAATTCGATAAGCCTTGATGACTTACATTTGAAGCGATTGAAGGCTTAATTGTAGTAATTTAGTGCTGTGGTCCAGCTTGGCCTTCAGACTCTTCACATCCTTCACGATGAATTTCGCGAGCTCAAACTTCCGCTTTCGGCTCTCGTTGACGAGACCCGCGTGTCTAATCAGAAAGGCATCCAGTTCTTTCAGGGTAGCGCGACAGTTCTCACGCGCAGCTACCAGAGAGGAGCGCTCGTTTTGAACCTCGGGTATGTCTCCCTCGGACACAAAAGCATTGACTTCCTTGAGTACATCGTGGAGAATTCTGACATGGTCATCCAGAGTCTCGTAATCTCCCTTGGCCGATTTACATTTTTGGTATAACTTGAGAGAAGGAACAGACATTAGCAGAATGAACGAGGTGGAAAAATCGGCCAACTTACATCCCATGCCTTGTCTCCAACGGCAATGAAATCACCTATGGCAAATCCGAAACTCATTGTATCTCAGACTCGCCTAGCAGATCTTTCCCAGGCTGCAAGCCCGCAAAATGATGGCAATCGTCGAGGGATATTTGTTGGGTCCAGCTGGTCTGTCACAACAACAATAGTCCCAAGTAAGTGTGTAAGTGAAAAATGCGAGCCTTGCGAATGTTGACAGTGAGCCCACCACGAACTTGATATCTTCCAAGACTTGCTGCCCCGCTTGCGCCACTGTTGCCTATTTAACATAGGTACAAAAGGGTCGCATCTCGGCACGACATTTAGGGAGTTTGGGCAATGTCTTGTATTAAGCCAGCAATGACTTCGGCCTATCTTGTTCATTCGATACTGATTATTTCATCTCTTTACCTTCATTTAACTGGAAACTGTGATGTGTGCAGAAACTCCAAATGCATCAATCAGCCGCAGCTACGCGTCACGAACATTGGTGTTCAACCAATGAGACCTAACTAGCAATATAGCAATACGAGAACACCCTTGCAATCACCACACACTCTCGCGCTGCGGATTGGTCGCGTCGTCCTTGGCTTTTGCTCTGCATCTCAGCTCGCGGTCCGGCATTACACAGTGCACACATTCCAGATAGCAATGGTCTCTGGTAATCGCCTGTTCTTGGGTTCATCTATCGTTGTAAACCCATCGATGTGAGTAAGATCATCCACATTCCAGCCTAGAACCTGTAGATATCAATGAGTGGCATCGCTCATGCGAGTGGAGTATTTGCTGGCTTGCATGCCTACATTATTGGCGGCCAAAATCGCAAGATTCTGAGGCACCCAAGCCAACAAGATATCATTCAAGAGAAAAATGCAAAGAACGCATCATATCAACTTTCTGTTCTACTACTTTGAATTCTTTCTTGAAATGGTAACACAATTGCGTGGTGTTTACGAGTGAGCGCGGGTTCCTACAGCACGTGAAAAAAGTGAACTTGCAGAAACAGTCCGTCCCCCCACACATAGAAACCAGCAGGCCCAAGTTTCTCACACAAATTTTCGGAAGTATTCATCTCCAATGACTTCTCCAGGTACAAAGTTGTCCTGCATCTCGTGAACTGTCTGACTCCCTGCCATTGTAGCAGCTTCACATCCTATCATCTCGGCAGTAGCTTCACCGACGCCACGGTCAAGGTTCCCAGTCGATCCGATGACCGAGCGGCTATCGATCTGGCCGATTTCAGCTTCCTGTAATTCATTCAGAGAGTTACTTTGTAATTCTTGTTTGCCCAGACTCCCCAGAAAAGAGTCACGTTTATCTGAACGTCCCGGAGAGGGGTCCTTCTCGCTTCTTTCTAATCGTGCTTTTTGGATGCGGAGTCGTCGGAGAAGATAGACAATGGCTGTGATGGTGACGATTAAGATGAGAACACCGACTCCGACACCAGTTCCAATGCCAATTTTTGCGCTAGTATCGAGGGAGCTTCGCACAGCGGCCACTGTCTCAAGAGTATTAGAGTTGCCATTGTTCATGTTAGTCACAACGAACGGCCGCATTTTGAACTGAATGAGCGTGTTGTCAGGATTGTAGCTCGGCGTTTCTTCCAAAGGCATTTGTTGATCTATATTTCCTGGATGGTATTCGTTACTACCATGCTTGTAAGCAAGATGGGGCTGGAGAGAACGCGGTCGCTCACTGTATAATGGTATTTGAAGCGGAGGAAGAGTATTCGAGCGCCATGCTCCGGAGCCAGCTTCAGTGGTCTGCCTTTCCCCAAATATTGACATTCGACTTAGAATAACGTCAGACATGATTTTCAATGTTATCAAGGATTGGGTTAGGTCACTAACTCTAAACAGCAATACATTCTCCTAGTTGACTGACTGATTGTAGCATACACTTCTGAATAAGGTATTGGACACGCCGCACCGGAATACGTTAGGCTGCATGACTGCGGTCCTGGTAGACAGTGATCAAATTCGGTAGAGGTTGGAACAGTGGCATATGTCACATTTGCCGAGCCGGTTAAACCAATATATCTCGAGTAAACGGTCAAAGATTTTCTAAGAGTTTTAGTCGCGGTAGCATTATATTCTGTAATTGTGGAAAAGGTAGCTTGGATAGCCGCGTCTGTAGGCGTCTTGAGACAAGCTTTCGAGTCAAATGTCCAGGAGGGGTCCAATGCACAAACCATTGTCGGGGCAGTGTTGCTGGGGGAAAGCTCTCTGCTTTATACCCTATTAACAGGCAACAACTTTAAGCTTAATATCTTTATCATTATTTAATAAGTTAATTTAGATTGTTAAGTTGTAGTGTTAAGGTCCTCGTTAAGACATAATCTATACTTAGCTATTTAAAATAATAACTTATAAGTTTTATAAACTACAGAACATGTGTTGTCCTGCTAGAAGCTTAAAAGCAGATTTATTGTGTAATTTTTCAATACCCAGTGTTTGTGCTGCATGGAAATGCGATAATTAAATCATAAACTTAGTCGGGGCAGTGTTTGCGCAGAAGGTGAAATAACGGCGTCCGGTCTTCGCTTTATAGTGCAACGAACGTAGTTGGTGTGAAATTTGCAGTTGTCGGGGGTCCCTACAAGTAAAAATGCCGTGTACCAGAAGTCTGGCGGCTAAAACTCTCGCTAGGTGCGGCGAGCAGGCTAGTTATCCTCCATGTCCATTTGCCTGCTTTGCTCACCAACAGTGACGCGCACCGCACTTAGCACCCCCTTGTGTCAGCGTTGGTGCAACTCGTGTAACCTGTGATCGACGAAACAATACAAAAAAAATATGCAATTCAATCAATACGGACCCTGAACAGAATAGCAAGGCAAAATGTCGATACGTAGTCAACACGATGTCCTCGCAGCTACTAATACGGAGTGTTAGTCATACACAGAGTTTCCCAACAGCTTGCAATCAACCCCGATAATTGTACTGTTATGTTTCGTAGCAGCTATGTTCAGCGCCCCCTTCGCGGACTGGGTCACGAACGTATGCCTCACGGTTTGCGCATATGCAATTCAAATATAACTCAAATGGACTGTGGCGTTTGCCTGGTTTCTCACTACTTTGGCCCCCATGGGTGAGTATGTGGTAGCCAAGATCTGCAATGCGCATTGTAACGTTACCCCCAAAAGTCCCGGTCGGAGTCCGCTCATACCAATATATCTTACGAAATGTACATAGAAGGCAGAAGGTCAAAACGGATTAGCTTTTAAATGTCCACACTGCCAGCCAAATCCTGTCTGTCAAAAGTTGAAAGCTATGTCGATCAATGAGATCAGGCACAACACATTCAAAAAACACTAGTGAATTGCCCAAAGACTACGCACTTGTTGAGTGACACTATAAGCAAATCGCTGTGTTCGATCCGTGCGTGATGTTTGTATCTGGTCTTATCAATGACGATGTCTCCCATCAATCAGCTCAAAGTCAGCATGAGCAATGTAAGCAGGTCACTTTTATCACGTAGAGTATGAATTTTTTTCTTTTGACTGATCACCTTCATTTCTTATATTTGATGTCCCCAGAGACTTCTGCGGGAAGACTAGTGTCTTGCATCTCATGAACCTGATTTGCCTTAATCCATTTGCCACTGTCGCACCCCGCCATTTCTGCACGCGCTACGCCATCCATCTCAGTACATTCTCCGGTCAACTCAGCTGTCAATCGATCACTCAATTGATAGATGTTTTGTCCTTGCGCTTCACTGACGTGATGACTGGGTAATTCTGCTTTGATCGTAGCGGAATCTTCGCTATCCTCCGCTCGCATTTTCTGTTGTCGAAGTCGCCGAAGTAGGTAAACTATTGATGTGATTGTGGCGATCAAAACGAAAGCGCCAACCCCAACTCCTACTCCTATGCTAATCTTTGCGCTGGTCTCGAGACCGCTCTTAACGGGTACGGGTGGAGCCGATTCGTTCCAGTGGACCTTGAAAGGTCGCATTGTCAATTGATATTGATGGGGATATACTTCTGGGCGTGGTGGAATGCGCTCCAAAGGAAACATCGATAGGGGATCCTTTGCGGCCCACGAATATACTGTCATACTTTTCAGACATCTCGAGCAAACGATAGAACAAGAGAATCTGATACTTACCACAAAGATCAACGACAGTGTTGAATGTTTCAGAAGCGGGAGCTTCTGAATACTTCACAGGCAGAGTATATCGCGGAAAAAATCTATCAGCATTTGACGAGGTAAGACTGGAATGCAAATGTCAGCAACAAACAGAAATAACGACACTCTCACGACTCACCTAAAGCAGCAGTATGCTGTTCGCATGCTTTCATATACTTCTACGTATATCTCCTCATATGGCGTTGGGCACGCTTCGCCAGTATAGCGCTCACTACAAGACGTCGGCCCAGGTAGACAACCATTGAATTGAGTTGGCGTCGGGCCTGTGGGATTCATATATATGTCAGGGTTATACCCCATCTGAGTCAATGTTGTCTGACTTGTTGGATTGGTCCTCTCCGTTAGACCTATGTATCTGGAGTATTTCGTGAGGGTTGTAGGTGTGACACGGCGAGGATTATACAACACGAAGTCAGATGTTGATGTGACCGCATCCGTGGGTAAAGCTAAACAGGCTTGGGAATCAAACGTCCAAGACGGATCGTAGTTGCAGTCCATGGTGAAGAACGCGGGGAGGGAGGTGGGAAACTTTTCAGAAAAGTGATTAGATCAAGCACCATGAAGGCAGAAAGACTTTGCTTATACAACGCAATGCACATCATCCCTGATTAGCAACGACCAGAGTGGAAGTTCTATTGTGATACAGGGGCGTTTTCGTACTCATTTGGGCCTTGGGCCTTGGGCCTTGGCAATTGCCTTCTTTTCTCGCCGCAATGCACTAAACCCCATGGTGCAGCGCGCGCCCTTACCGTGCACACGCAGCTATACACCGACTTCTAGTCTTAGAATTATATGAGGAGCTATGATGAATGATGATTCCACGCATTCATCCATTCGTAGCCATGCAAGCCGTTGCTCTCCCACAGTTGCTGGTCATGGTACATGGGATTCTCAAAGCACATCCACAGCAAGTCCACAATACCCATGAGCAAGGACCCGTTCGCGCTATCGAAAACATCGAAAACAGAATATTAGACGACTCTAACGCTTCGTCTTGTGTCTAAAATTATGACTACGGGCGTCAACCGGCCTGTAAGGCGCCTGCCTGGAAACTTCCCTTTGGAGATCTACCGTTGGGGGCTAGATCAATGTAGCGACGACATACCCCTGAAACGAACCGATCCGCCACCTCTGAGCAGACCTACGAATTAAGTATCGATTCGTCCATTTTCATCGCGATACTCAAATAGCATCTAGTGGATGAACCGAACTGCTTTAAATTGAATAGACCGAACATTTGATGTGGATAATCATTTGCCAAACTTCGCATGTACCTCGATACCAGACATTGCAATTTACAGAAGTTCCCATCAGTTTTCAACGGTAGTTGTCAATCGAGTCTCCAATTATCTATATGGCCATTCCCTACCTAGAAAAGAGAATGAATCGTGCTTGTATCGCAACAACTGATCAAAGCGTGCAGCAGATCATTGCATGTATCGCTATGGACACGATCCAATGATTCCCCGAGACGTCCACCAAAGGACAGCTGATTGTCTCAACGATAAACAAAGTTCCGGAAGAAATAACTCCGAAAAGCCACAATCGTCATCTGTTTATCGCTACATGCGTCCACAAGAACATCTCTTTCTTATCACTCATCAGCCGCCATCACTGACTCTAGGATGTCAACCATTTGATGCCCCGTCGCATTATACCCCGCCACATACTTCTCCCCAATACTGTAAAGACCGTTATTATATGTTGTCTGTGGCTTTTCGCGACAAAAATGGGTCAGGGTGTCGAAGAGATAATCCCTAAATTGCGATCTGGGGAAAGCGTCCAGAATATTTTCCCATTGTGTTTGATTGACAGTAATGATATCACCCTATATGAGTCAGCAATATGTAAAAACTCGCGCAGAGGATGAAAATGGAAAAGGTAAATCGCACCCATTGCTCCTTCGCCAACTCCGGGCCGATCAATTCCAAGATGGTTCCAGCGCTGGTGTATAGTACCTCAGGCTGTTTGAATTTCGCAATGTCCGTACTGGTGTGGAGCGCAATAGCGTCCCAAACTAGCTGTACTCGATGGTCGTCCCATTCTTCCGCCTGGGTCCGGTTGCGTATGAAGCTTTTGGCAGCCTCTGCCCCGTCGACCTCGAACCACTTGTCGTCAGACACAAAGCTGGTGTTAAATGCCCTGTATTCATCAGTTTAGGTAAATTAGAATTCCATACGGCATGGTGAGGAAGTAGAAGTGAGAGATGATCCATACCATCCAAGATCATGTAAGATAGCGGCAACGCTAAACGCCTCCACATCAATGTGCGAGCGGTTCTTGGCGGGCAGATGATTAATGAGAGCTTGACCATTAATCCAGGCTCGCATGACGTGGTTGAAACCATTCAACGGGAGGCTTTGCTGAGCCAGCGCGATAGAGGCATTGATGATTGGGGTGTCAAGAACCGTGACGCCGGCAATGAGGCGGGTTACGTTATTGAGTAACTGGACCATCTTGAGATAATATGAATTGTGCTTTGAGAAAGTGTGCAATGTTCCGCTGTATAGATATCTTCAATCGAGGTGCAGGTCTCAAATTTATATACATTTCAACCGTTCTCCCAGCATTACCTTATTTCAGTAGGTCCTTCAGCTGTGTCGTCAACCATGAGTGAATTTCTAAGCACATGTCAAATTACACTCTAATTCCGCACCATGGCTAAAATAGGTGAAATCGGTCAGTGGATTGATCACCCGTTCGTCACTCATACTCGTCGACAATACCGGGAAGATTTCCACTTCACCGACAACGCGAGATACCTTAGTGACATGATCTTCAAGCGAACCAATCCGCTAGGGAACAAGCCAGCTATGATTACTGAACTGGAGTACTTGATTGCTAAAGCATAGAGCTGAAATTGTCGGATCGGCTCTTGAAGTATATGCGGATGTTCACCTTCGTCGGCACGGATCGGCAGTAGGTGTGAAAGCCGATGCCGGTCACGTGATCATCACACTACCCAGTTAGAAACGCTCTATGACGGTGTTAGTATGAAAGACAACATCAACTTCGAGCCTGAGACGGCTTAAGCTTTTGGATTCTCAGCCATCAGTCTGATATGAGCGCTGGGACTCCAGAACGGGATCGCTACACTGCAAGAAATTTGGTCAGATGGGGACCGGTACCGGTAGCGGATAGGAGGGAGGATGATGATGTACCCACAATAGGCAGTCAAAGGGTGGAGTATCCTACGGAAAGAAGATGGTATGGATGAATAACATCAGGCATGGAACAAACGCATTTATTTCCATCAGCGAAATCTCTGATACAATCAAGTACAAAGAAGAATCAAGAAACAAGCAGCGAGCTCGATAGATAGGTATCATAGTCCTCTCTCAAAGGAGGGCATCTAATTCAAAAACAGAAAATAAAAAGCAGCGTTAAACATTACCACTGCCCTTATCGCACATCTCAATAACATAAACCTCACTAGAAGCCGCACTCTCGCTCCTCGAGCTCAACCCAGTGGCTCTTCCGTCCCCTCCTCCGCCAGCACCAACACGGCGCTCGTTGACCACTCGATCGAACGGCTCTTGCTGTATCTCGTCTTCCTCGCCAACCCTCTCCACCTTGACCTCCATGGTCGTAGTCTTGAGCACATCGCCGTTTTTGAGGTTCTCGAGGCGAATGCCATCGGCGCCGATTTCCTCGACGTCGTCGTCCATTTTGGAGTACGGACCGATGCTGCGATGATGTGCTGCTTCGTTGCCGTGCATGACGTGTACGTGGCGGCTGAAACGGCTGGTAGTTGTGATGGAAGACTTTGCGCCGTGCACGCCGCCGCTGGGTGTTGCGGTGATGATTGTGGTGTTTCGGTGGGCTTTGGAGTTGGGGCCCGTGGATGAGGTGTTTGTGTTGCGGAGGGTGCCTCGGACGAGGTTCATGAGTTGGTTGAGGATTGTGAATTCCATCTTCAGTTTGATCGAGTATACAGCGCCTTTGAACGAAGTTTGGATGTCGTAGACTGGTGTTTTGGTTAGCATGTGGAGTCAGGTGTTGAGGATATTAGCGGGATGGTGAGGAGTTGACTTACGGCCTGCGAATTCAAGACCCAGTAATGCGATATCCAACGCGATGATTATGGCGCTCATGACGATGGTATGCACAAGAACCTTCCTCCTCGCGTCTCTCCGGCTTTCGAATAGTGGACCTTCGATCCTTAACAAGGCAGTCGTCTTCCAGATGTAGATGCCGCTCAGCATCACCTCCTGTAGGAAGAACCACGTAACCTGGATTTTCTCTATGACGGAGTAGAGCGGAATCCAGCGCTCGGGTGTTGATGTCGTATTGGTCAAGAACGTAGCGACACCGGTAGTCGAATGCAGCACGATGGCGTCGAAGATGATTACCCAGAGCACATACTTCGTCCACTTAGCCTGCGCCACGAGGTGCAGCCTTGAGTAGAGGACGATGGACTGTCCCGTCACCATCATGCACCATCCTGTCCATACAATGACAGTGTTGATGATGTCCTCACCCTTGACGTCTTCGTTGATGTGGTAAAACTTGAGGAACATGCCCAAGCCGTGGAAGAAGATCCCCCATGTCGCGACCAAAAGCGAGTAGTAGTAGAAACCCGCATAGCGTTTGAAAAAGGATTGAATTAAGACGGTAAGCTCTGCGACATTGTACCACGCTACCGACAGGAAGGCGCAAATGATAAGACCGTTTGTGACACCGACCTGAACGTCGGATCCGATATTTGAATCTTCGGGTGCGATGGCCATGGTTCCTGATCAACGCATACTAGACGTGACACGTCGAGCTAGGTCCGGGTTGTGGAGACCCAGCACGAAGAGGAAGAGGAAAGAGAATGGTATCGGAAGTGAACAGATGATGGTAGAGGTTAAGGAGACTGGAGGAGCACGGGGTACAAGATCATCCGACAACAACGGAAAAGAAGCTCATATGCAGAAGAGATCAACAAAGTGGGTCTCCCTGCGGGGAAGAAGTACTCTGGAGCTCCCAGCTTTATGGAATGGGTCAGGAGTTCATCCCGGTACTGGGAATGCTTAACAAATTGCTACCAAGAATACAATAAGGCCACATGGGACGCGGCGCACTGTGATATATGCAACGAAAAGGCGTTTTACCTGGAATTCGGTTCGATGATTGGCCAGCGCGAATCATTTTCTTCTCGTCTCGACTCTCGAACAGAAAAGAGGGCGATCCGTGCGTTTGTCCAGGGATACAAAGTTTGGAGGATCCGGGTGTTGGCCTCATATCGTGTACACAGTGCGCACTCTGCATGACAGCGAGGGGTATGCCGAAAAAAAACATGTTATCATTCACACACGAGCGTCCTTCTCGAAAGCCACATGGAAACACAGGTGCGTTGAGAAAAACTCCTCGCTGCGTGTTGACTATGGGCTCGATTTCTGTGGCCCCAGGATCGCGGGATATAGCTGTTTACAAACCCGAATCTGGCAAGTGTAGCCTCCAAATTATTGGAATCCTGTATAGTTGGGCCGGGACACCGGCGTGCCGTAGGGTAGGAACAATCCCATGGCTCGGGGAGACGGTACGTGTGTCTCACGGCACAACCAGGCCGACCAAAGGGCCGAAAGTGAGCTCTAGCAAACCGCCAGACAAAGTCCATGTCATCCCACAACTCGTAAAGCTGACGATTGCAATCCTCAACTCCAGGTCTCAACAAGCACGGCGTACGTGGGAAGAGCATCGTCTGACACGCACCGCACGGGCATTTTCCTCAGTCAAGCGAGTGTCGTAGTCGAGTCAGGACCCATGTCTTCCAGCGTTGGTGTATGCGAATCCGCCCCGTGGGGAATGGCAATTGGTGCTGCCTCTGCACCATCTCCACGAAAGGCAAGATGAAACCAACACAGCTGATGACAGTCGCGTGCGTGACAGGGAGAGAAACGGCTTGGGCCAGCAATCTTACTTGCGGGGAAGTACTTAGCGTTCGCCGTAAGGTTCGTGCCATGCATGCATGCATGCTTGTTCGCTTGTCCTGCGAGATGGACCTCTGATATCGCGGCTTGTCACCCTTGTCCAGATCCTTCTCGCGGCCTGTTCTCACAGTCGCTGCTCTTTCGCCCCCGTCACGATACCCTAATTTCTACATCTCCCCCCTATTCCTGCCATCTATTCCTCTTCAATCCATTAGCATCGTGATTTTATGGTATCATGTTCCGCTCTCCGCAGTTTCTCGCTAACCCTAGAGATCTCCAAGAAATACTTTGAACAAAACGCTTTTGTTGGATTCCTTCAAATGTTTGTGATCGCTGGTTGTACCTTCCTTTTCGTCGGGTATAACACTCACCACGCACCTTGATCACACATTTCTCCTTGGCTCTCGTTCCAGATCCTGCTGGTGTAGAAAGACCCGATACGGGCACGGGTCATCGAAATCTTGCATGCGGAGAATTCCGAACTCATTGGCAAAACGCCAAACGTCGTTGTACCAAATCGTGGTCTATCGTCGGAGGTTCGCATGAAGAACTTGGCTACGGACATCCAAAACACTTACTTGAATTAAATATAACTTTCGAATGGCTTCAATTGATCGGTCACAGAGAACGGTTCAACGCGAGCGGGCCGTACCCACCCACGTGGATGATGGGGGGGCCAGACAGTGAATATGTGGTAAGCGATCCCCAAATCTCTCTCGCGCGGAAGTCCCAAACCGTTCCGAGCGTACATACACACATACATAATCGCAAAACCTCACCCTCCAGAATGCATTCATGTACCAGGGCGAAAAAAAGGTCTGTGTCGAGTCCAAGAGGTCCTTTCCACGGCCCTCAGCAGATCTAGAAGCTTGGAAGAAACCCGCCAGTTGGTCAACCTATCCCGCTGACGTGAGCTGTGGCTCTCCCGCCCGCATCACCATTGGTTCCGGGAAACGTATCACACACTGCGATGCAGCTGCGCAGAAGTTTGAGGATCCTGTGAACTTATGCGGACGGACGGGATTGGCCGTGCCTGGCGAATTCAATGCGCGCAGCAGCAAGCAGTGACAAAAAATGTCGAGAGCGAGAGCGAGGTGGCAAAGAAGACGTGGCGTCGCAGTCATCCTCACATCTGAGGCAAGATACTGCAGTATATGCTTTCGTTTGCCCGCCTGTCTGCTTATCCTTCATCTCACAGTACGAGATGTACTAGATAGGGCAAAAAACCGTTCGCCGTTCATTGACTTGCCGCATCCCCGGAACTCCCACACGATATTTATTTGCTGGAGCTCGATTGCTTATCGACTTTCCGAGATTACGAGAGCGAGGTTGAAATAGGAAAACTGTTGATATTTGCCCAATCAGGGAAACTTGAGAGCGGACTGACTTACCCAGCACACGTACAATTTTACAGCCCATGTGGAGTGGCTTTGCTATTATCATCATATGGACGTTTCAATTGAAGTTGTTCGTCTATTTTGAGGAATACTGTATCTTTCTGAATCAGAAACCGCCGACCGTGGTACGTTGCGAGCATGGACGACAGGGGATCTGTCACGATATCGTTCTGCGGGGACAGTCCTTGCCGTGGCCTGAGCTTAGCACAACAACGTGGTTTGCAGAGGCAGATCATTGACGCCATTATCCCAAGACGCATTGTCCGTGTATTGTTTTCGCTGTTCAATCTCACTATTAATACTATGACTGACCGTTCCACCTACATTGCTTGCGGGTACCGAGTCATGTACGATAGTAATGAATACGACAAGCCTTCTTGTGAATCAAGTGTCGACCCTTCTGATATGAAATGGCAGAAAACGAGCCTCCACCTCCCTATTCATCGCCTTTTCGGGGCCTTCGGCTCGCCAATTCAGCGGCTAAGGATGCCTGGATATCTTCCTCGTCATTGTTCTCATGGGCCAAAGTCTCTGTCTGTTGCAGTCCAGCTTGCGTTTCGGCTTGAGAATGAGCTCTAGAACGAGTGTACGTTCGCTTGCGACGCGGCGGTGGTATGATTTGCTTTCTACCGTAATGTCTCCTCTGATGACGAAGAAGTTGAATCCGTTTAGGAAACTTATCATGGCATCCGTCAATATTACAACTCCACTTTTTATGGTCTGTGTCGACATGTCTTCTAGGCGATGAGTCAGTCATTACTGAGGGGATTTCTGATTCACAAGCTGACTTGTATATATGCAAAGACACTCACCTGTAGTCTGTTTCTGTGCTAAACCTCAGGAATCTGCACCGATGTGCGTAGTTGCACCTCAAGCTCGAATCATCCTCCGCCTCCAAAGGAATCGAGTGCGACTGTTCCAACGTGGCTTGTGGCTCTGGACCGGGCTGTGAGGGAATCGACGATATTGTGGAACTATCAGAACCGCGTAACATAAGCGAATTTGTTCCAAGTGTGCTATATCCGCTCTCAACAGGATCTGAAGCTAGCCGGTGTCCACCTCTCGTTTCCATAAGCGGCAGCTCACTTCTCGTGGAATCAAGCGCTGAGCTACGTGCAGCGTTCGTCTGGTCGATTCCAAGATTTGACTTTTGCATCTGTTGAGTCTGCCTATGTATACCGCTATCATCCATCGACATGAGGGGGTAGTAAGAGGCCTCGGAGTTCGGTAGAGCACTTGCTGAGGCACTAGAAAAGGTATATTCATTCGATATTCCTTCTGTATTCAATGACCGTGGCTGCCGCGGGTTGTTTGACGTGCTATCGAAGCTGTCCAGCGATCGTGCCATTTCAGGAGTGCACACACCGCCCACACCCGACATTTGGGGGCCTCCTACATGATATTATCAGCAAGAAATGACATTTACAACGATTCCTCGATACCTCATACCTGTGTCAGGGCTTTTCTTGTTTGGCCGCTGCTCATTGTCGTACGTGTCAAGGAAGCTGTTCAGCGATTGTGTCATCTCGTCTGTCCACACACCGCCCACAGCCGACATTTGGGAGCCCTCTACGTGGGATCATCAGCAAGAGATAACATTCAGAACGGTTTGTCGATAACACATACTTGTGTCAGGGCTTTTCTCGTTTTCGTCGGCCATGGTGCTCGTAAGCAAAGGCTGAGGTAATCTTGTGGGGGATAGAATGTTCTGCATATGTTCCCACAAGACAGGTAACGCCGGTTGTATATTCCAACGCATGTTGCCTTTCCCGCAACCTAGTAGCCCTGGAAATTTACAGAGATGGTAGGAACGAACTATGCACAGTAGTAAATCATGTAGGAACGAACAAGGACTGTGAAACAGTCGCGACTTCCCAAACAACATGGTCCGTCTTTCTCTGGTCCTCAAAACAGTGCTCATATCTGCGCGAGGGAATAGTCACATACCCAGCTTTTGACATTTTTCTTGTGGAAATAGCTACTCCGTTGTTGATCTTCATCCATCGCACGTCGGGGGATACCGATGATCTTGAGGGACCCCTGACACCGCGTCAATCACGATAACGAACGTCACAGACGAAGGTGAGGGAGAGTTGGCATGAAGACAAGCCCGATGAGAAGCGGTCTCTGTGCCTATCAAATATAGTAGAGAATAAGGGTAGAGGCCTCATTGTGGAGGTTCTTGAAGCCATTGCAATCGATGAGATAGGATTCAATCAACCAAAGCAAGATTAAGACGGACCCGACATGAGTAGTCCATCATGACCATCTCGCTCAGATGCAGACCCGCTCATCAATAGCCACAAAACACGCTAATCAGGCAAACCGGGCATCATCTGTCTTCAAGCTGTGGCTGGGCGTTATTTCCTTTATGAAACGAAACACTTCAAGCGCAGTCTTCCTCCCTCTTTAAAGTTCCCCTATACGCAAGTAAAGCTATTCGCAAAAAATCCTCGATTACTTTTTGTCTGCGCCTCCTCTTCAAAATAACCTTCGTCTCTCTCTCCTCTCCCTGTATAGTAAAAAAAAAACCCGTAAACTGATAACAACCCTTAAGACACACACACCGTTCAGAGTAAAAAAGAAATCCGTTTTTCCCCACCAAGTACCGCTTGAAATCACAAGACTATCAAGAATGAGAAAGAAAGAAATGTCGAAACCACAAAAACAAGATGAGATAACGTAACCGGCAAGTGAGCGGCGCAGGCAAGCGAGCGGCGCACCTTGTCAACTTTCCGCGCCTTTTTAGCAATGTATCTTAACAACGCGATAAGGCAGAATAATATAGTAGTTATATAAAATTAGCTACTACTTATAGCTTACTTCTTACACGTTTATAAATTATAGCTAGTCTCTCTACACTTGCTACAGCGCGCTGAAGCCTAACAGCTAGCACCTAATTAAGCCTTCCTTTAACGTGTTTCCCCCTTAATCTATTGCTTAACCTCCTTTTAAGCTATTATTTTTTTTCCCTCTCCCTTTATAAGTGTCTCTTACTTCTAAATCTGCTTTTTTTTACGTGCCCTACGCGTTGTTGCAGCTTAGTTAGCTTGCTTAAGGCTAGCAATTTAATTGTTAGATATTACAGTAATGCGTAGTGATAATAAAGTTAATAATTGTGTTGTTCTTTATCTCCTGTAAGATTAGACAGTTCTAACCCCTAGAGTAGGTAGCTAGTTGCCTTAGCTATTAGCTAATTAGAAAGAGTTAGGTACACTTAACTCTTTTCTATTAGCTAGAGCATTTTACAGTAATTTACTATAAACTACTATAAAACTTCTTACTATTTAGCATGTATCTAACACACTCTCTTAGCTTAGAACCTTATTATAAGCTAGATATACCCTTTATACTAGTTCTAGCTGCAATTAGAACTAGTGCTACTTATTAGCTAGCAGGGCCTTTGTAAATTCATCTGCAATCATCTCTACAGTAGGTTAATACTTAATAGTTATTACTCTCTTAGCGCGTTCTTGCTGTAACTAGTAATTATAAATATCTATATATTATAGCTTTGTTTAAAGCTTTGCAATGTTCTTATTAATTAGGTAAATTGTTTAAATGTTGTTGCACTAGATAGAGATTAATTTATTAGGTAGTATAACTTTTAGTTTCTAAATTAGGCGCAAAAAATACATTGCCTCTTTTGCTACTTAGAAGAGCGCTAGCAGTTTAGCTTTAGTTGTTAAAGTAGTAACTGTATTCTGCTTGTTAGCTCTCTACGTAATAAGCCCTCTAAAGAGCTTTATTATATACTCTTATAAGCTTTTTCTATTAAGAGTGTTATCTATAAATAATGCGTTACTTAATACTTTAAAGCTATTACTTTCTCTAAGTTGTAGAGTAAAGTGCTTAGTTAATTATAAGTGTAGAAAGATTCTGTTAGCTGCTTAGTAATAATCTAGCAATAAGTTAACTAGAAAGCGTGCTAGCTATAATACTATAAATATAGTATTTAGTTATATTATTGTTGCAGCAAATAGTAGTAAACTAATCTTACGCTAATACTTATTTATTGCTAATAGAGTAGTAAGCTTTTTGTATAGTTTAAGTTTAACAGCACTTATTAGAGTGTTATAACAGATGCTCTAGTTATTAATTAGTTAGCTAATCTTCTCTAGGTATGCTAATTGCAATAGATAGATAAGGCGCTTTTCTTAGTTGCGCGTGACCTCTACGCTAAGAAACTACTATAAGTTATCTCCTCTAGTTATAGTATATTACTCTTAGAGAGCCTTTATAGTAGCTTTATAGTAGCTTTTACTATAATAGTTGTATACAACAATAATGTTGTTTATATAAAAGAAGATAATAACTTTATTTTTAATTATATAATATAGTTTATGTAGCACTGTGTAAAAACCTAGTTTTATTAAAGTAGTAGTAAACTTTTTCTGCTAGAGTAAAGAAGAGATGCAGAAGCTATAAAGCGCTTTTTTAATTTTTAAAGTCTTTCTAAGTTTGCAATACCTATATAGCATTTTTATATATACTTTTCTATTTATTAAGGCATAGACAAAGGCATTAGTAACATTTTATTATTTAAAATTAAGGTTGTATTTAGCCGCAATTGCTATTAACATGCAGAAAAACCTGCTAGCAAGTATAGCTACATAAGTGTTTTAAGTTGTTATGTTTTATTATTAATTACTATAAACAACTAGTTAGGCTTTACACTAAAGTAGGTTATAATCTTTATTAAGTTTATAAGTATACACCTACATATAGTTAAGAACTTAATAGCCTACTTATTATACTAAGAAGGTATTAACCTCTGTTTAAAATTTTATATTATAATAGCTTTGCAGGTGTTCCTGCTCTGCCTCTTTAAATTTATTATATAGTAGGTAATTCTTAAGTTTAGAAAAGCTTGTAGAAAGATTAGGTAGACTTTTAATATAGACTTTTTCTTCTTTTGCTAATTTATCTTTAAGATTAGGTGCTTTTACTTAGGTGCTAGCTATAAAGGTAGCTTTCTAAAAAATTATCTTTAATAAGGGCTAATTGTTACCTTTATTATCTAGCTTTATATTTATAAACAGCTAAGTTAATAGTACTGCTAGTAGTAGCAGTAAGTTTAGCAGTATTAAGTATACTTTAACTAGTGTTTAAGTAGCTAGCTTGTCTAGGTTTTGTAGTAAGTTACTATAATTTATAGTAATGTTTCTATAACTAGGTTAGTAGCTAAAGTTAATACTTAGTTTATTCTTATAGAAAAATTAAGTTTTAAAAAACTAGTAGGCAGGCTCTTGCAGTGCTGCCTTTTTCGCCTAAATAGTAATTTTTTTAGTAGTGTAATAGAGAAAACTATTCTTAATATTATTTTTTTTACTATTATAGGTTTTATGTTTATTAAATACTATATCTCTAGTGCTAATAATCTTTCTTAATAACAGTATCTAGATGCGATAGATGTTTAAGGATTAATACTCTACTAGGTATCTAATCTAAGCTTTTAGGTTAAGCCTTTATATTTTAAAACGTTTAAGCTAAGTGTTATTAGTTACTGCGAAAACCTTACAGCTATAAGCTTTTAAGTAAGCAAGGTTTAGTTTGCAAAAGCTTAATAGTGTGCTATTTTTATTAGATATTATAGTAATGTGTAGTAATAATAAAGTTAATAATTGTGTTGTTCTTTGTCTTCTGTAAGATTAGACAGTTCTAACCTCTAAAGTAGGTAGCTAGTTGCCTTAGCTATTAGCTAATTAAAAAGAGTTAGGTACACTTAACTTTTTTCTATTAGCTAAAGCATTTTACAGTAATTTACTATAAACTACTATAAAACCTTTTACTATTTAGCATGTATCTAATACACCCTCTTAGCTTAGAACCTTATTATAAGCTAAATATACTCTTTGTACTAGTTCTAGCTATAATTAGAACTAGTGCTACTTGTTAGCTAGCAAAGTCTTTATAAGTCTATCTGCAATTATCTTTGCAGTAGGTTAATACTTAATAGTTATTACTCTTTTAGCGCGTTCTTGCTATAACTAGTAATTATAAATATCTACATATTATAGCTTTGTTTAAAGCTTTGCAATGTCCTTATTAATTAGGCAAATTGTTTAAATGTTGTTGCACTAAATAGAGATTAATTTGTTAAGTAGTATAACTTTTAGTTTCTAAATTAGGCGCGAAAGATACATTGCCTTTTTTGCTACTTAGAAGAGCGCTAGCAGTTTAGCTTTAGTTATTAAAGTAGTAACTATATTCTACTTATTAGCTCTCTACGTAATAAGCCCTCTAAAGAGCTTTATTATATACTTT